TGTTCATTGTTTCTTTACATATGTATAGATTGTTGATGGTACTGTGTGAAACTCAATATCTGTGCGTTCATTAAAGCTGATTCTGTAGAGTAATTGATATGTGTGCACTACCTTTGTGACTGGGACATTTATATACATCCAATAAAAGCATTTGTAAAGTCATTAGTATGTGACACAAAATGAACAATTTAAACATGGGACTTTGGCTTTCTGTAGACCAGCATAGTGCTGACAGGATTAGTTAATTGTCAGTTGACTATTAATCATCTCAGTCCCTTTTTAAGCAAAAAAGCAAACAATTATCTGGTTCCAATTAATCAAATGTGAGGATTTGCTGATGCTCCTCCTCATATTTATTATTATATATACATTATGGAGTTAGGACCATTGATCCCACAAATCATCTAATTGGAACATGTCAGCTTGGGCCCTAGAGAAAAAAAAGGGCCCTTTTCACTATTTTCTGACATCTTATTTGAAAAAAAAAAGAAAATTAAATAGTAAATTGAAAAACATCTATAGTTATAATCATGCTTGGATGCTTTGTAACCCTCCATCTTTTGTACTGCATTATCAAATATCAACTCTCACCAAAAAAGGAACACTGAGCTATGCTGCATGACAAGAGCTCTACATTAGGAATAGTTTGGGGAAAACAAAGCATAGGTAGATCTGATAAACGCTGAACGGTGCACGTTTAGTGCCCGAAGTGGAAATCCCATGAGGAAATCCCACAGGTTGTCTGGAGAAGATGTTTTTAAGTTAACTCACTGGTGCGGTACTTGGGTCGACATGTTATCTGAAGGCCAGAGACTTCTAAGGTGCAGTGATCTGTCAGGAGAGCTTGCCAGGGAATGGTCACCGCTATGCTGCTCACAAAGCCATCCACTATCTCCAGAGGAGCGCCCAGAGACTCCAAAAGCTCATTGACGGCCTGGAGTAGAGAGGAAGCAGTCAGTAAGAAACACTTTTGTGTGGAGCAATAAAGCAAAGAAAGAGGGATATCTAATTAGTATGTTTAGACTCCAAGAAGAGGTGCAATTAATCTGGTGATGTGTTTCCCATAAGTGCATTTCCTCGAAGAAAGGCGAGCTAGGCTAAGTGCATGACGTGTGAGATTGTTGTTGTTGAACTCGAGTGCAGTTGCGAAACAGTCAATAGTGCACGATGACTGCTGCTGTGGTGTGAAGTTGACAGCCACCTTTCTCTCCCCTTAAAAAAACTCACCCAGACATCGAGGTTGATTTCCTTGATAACACCGCTGCCATTGTACAGGTCCAAGCCGAGCTGGTCCAGGCTCAGCCGTTCCTGTAGAAAGTGACCGAGGTAGTGCTGTAAGAGGTACCGACAGGCCCGCTTCTTGATTGAGCCTGACCAGGGGAAAAGCCAGCGAGACATAGGGCCAGAGAGAGCGGGGAGAGGGAGCAAAGAGGTGGCGGAGGAGAACAAGTGCGAGTACAGTCCTCTGGCAACTGCATAACAGACTAACACAAAGAGTGCAGAGACAAGGAATGAGCCACAGCTAGCTACAGGGGGCTAAGGAAGGGGTAAACCGTAACTCTAGTTCTCCAATAGGCTTGACACAAAAACTCGAAAATCCTTTGTGTCAGGACGGACGAGACTCCCACGCGACTTGATGAGACGTTACTCCAACTGTCTGTAGCTGTCTCGGCTCATTTTTTCGGTACGTTTGAGTCGGATTACAGCGACTAGTCCTGTTGGTTCGTATCTCTTGTTTAAGGGTTGTTTATTGTTATCATACGCCAACTGATGGTATGGGGAACGTACGTGCGTCAGACACAACCCGGAAGAGAGACAGATGACGCCACCCAGGCGCCATCTTTGTAAGGTCAATGCCTTCTTTTATACAGATGGTCAATACATTTTTTGTAGAATAGGATCTTTTAACATTTACATATACAACAAAGTAAAATTAAAATAAACATTTAGATGACTGGTGAGACTGTTTGGAATTTTACTTTTTATATTGTTGCATTATTAAATTTAACAGAATGAGAAAATCTGATTTACACAGAGGCACAGTAAATCTGGTTGAGAGGTATATCTTTCATTCACTTTAGTATAGGCCCTCTATATTCACCTCTTTTATACAGTCAATGGTATAGTCCATAAATGTGAGAATTTCAGGGTGGCATCAGCTCAGTCAGTTAGGGCTTGGAAACCGGTGGGTCGTCAGATCAAGTCCAACATGAAACCACTGCCAAAGGTGCCCCCTGAGCAAGGCCCTAAACCCAAAACTACTCCCCAGGCGCTGTACAATGGCAGCCCACTGCTCCTAAAAATAGGATGGGTTAAATGCAGAGAAGAACTGTCCACCTCCCCCTCCCCTTTTAAAAGAATTTCTAATAAATACACGTTTCAACTGGCACGGGGTCTTCTGATTGGCATTTTGGCAATAATACGATTTCTGTAAGCCTAAAAGCATTTCCATGACTATCATCTACACTCACCTAAAGGATTATTAGGAACACCATACTAATACTGTGTTTGACCCCCTTTCGCCTTCAGAACTGCCTTAATTCTACGTGGCATTGATTCAACAAGGTGCTGAAAGCATTCTTTAGAAATGTTGGCCCATATAGATAGGATAGCATCTTGCAGTTGATGGAGATTTGTGGGATGCACATCCAGGGCACAAAGCTCCCGTTCCACCACATCCCAAAGATGCTCTATTGGGTTGAGATCTGGTGACTGGGGGGGCCATTTTAGTACAGTGAACTCATTGTCATGTTCAAGAAACCAATTTGAAATGATTCGAGCTTTGTGACATGGTGCATTATCCTGCTGGAAGTAGCCATCAGAGGATGGGTACATGGTGGCCATAAAGGGATGGACATGGTCAGAAACAATGCTCAGGTAGGCCGTGGCATTTAAACGATGCCCAATTGGCACTAAGGGGCCTAAAGTGTGCCAAGAAAACATCCCCCACACCATTACACCACCACCGGCCTGCACAGTGGTAACAAGGCATGATGGATCCATGTTCTCATTCTGTTTACGCCAAATTCTGACTCTACCATCTGAAATCGAGACTCATCAGACCAGGTAACATTTTTCCAGTCTTCAAATGTCCAATTTTGGTGAGCTCTTGCAAATTGTAGCCTCTTTTTCCTATTTGTAGTGGAGATGAGTGGTACCCAGTGGGGTCTTCTGCTGTTGTAGCCCATCCGCCTCAAGGTTGTGCGTGTTGTGGCTTCACAAATGCTTTGCTGCATACCTCGGTTGTAACGAGTGGTTATTTCAGTCAAAGTTGCTCTTCTATCAGCTTGAATCAGTTGGCCCATTCTCCTCTGACCTCTAGCATCAACAAGGCATTTTCGCCCACAGGACTGCCACATACTGGATGTTTTTCCCTTTTCACACCATTCTTTGCAAACCCTAGAAATGGTTGTGCGTGAAAATCCCAGTAACTGAGCAGATTGTGAAATACTCAGACCGGCCCATCTGGCACCAACAACCATGCCACGCTCAAAATTGCTTAAATCACCTTTCTTTCCCATTCTGACATTCAGTTTGGAGTTCAGGAGATTGTCTTGACCAGGACCACACCCCTAAAAGCATTGAAGCAACTGCCATGTGATTGGTTGATTAGATAATTGCATTAATGAGAAATTGAACAGGTGTTCCTAATAATCCTTTAGGTGAGTGTATATTGGTGATGCAGCAAACACTTTTAGGGTCCACTGGGAAATTAAGACAGGTCCATATTTTTTCATGTCAGTTTTAAAACAATAGTCAGGCGACCACACTTTGAAATCAGTGTGTCCCAAAGTCCAAGATGACGTCCTCAGGTGTCTTTTTTTGTCCACAAACCAAAGACATTCAATTTACTACCATGGAGAATTAAAGAAACCAGAAAATATTCACATTTAACCTGGAATCAAATAATCCATCCATCCATCCATCTTCATCCGCTTATCCGGGATCGGGTCGCGGGTGGAATCAAATGATTTTGACTTAAAAATTTACACAAACCAAATCGATTATCCAAATAGTTGGCGATTAATTTTATAATTGACAACTAAGAGAATAATCGTTGCACATCTAATCCACAGTCCTTGTTCTGTGCAAAAATTAATTAGAAACTTTAGCTGAAGCTAATATGAAGTTTTATCAGTCTGAGTTAGTCAAATGAAGTGGTTACTATGCCTCCGTTGCGGCTCAGCACAGAAACACCCTCTGGAAAAACAAGAAAATTAGTTTTAAAAAGACAGTTTTCTACAAAACTTTCACTTCATTTGACAAACTCAAGGCAGCTGAGGCCTCAAATTAGCTTCAAATAAACATGGATTACATTTTTGCATAGAATAAGGATTTTGTCAGAATTCTCACAGAAAGACAAAACTGTTTAAATGTTCATATGAGCACCTGACTATTAACTCCATAAAATGTCATCAGATGTTTCTTTAATATTTCTTTTCGCAATTAATACAATTTTCTGAATACAACTGATTTTATACTAATAACAGAATGGTTGATGACTGCATAAAATGTCTATCTGGTGAATGGCCACCGCTCGATAGTGTCACTGTTTGCTTTGTAAAAAACATTGTTTAAAATAATCACTTTATCATAACAAAAAATAGAGTTTATCATTTCAACTACTGGAATGGATTTGTACATGATATTTGTTAGTCTGGTCTCTGCCTCTGAAATGTTTTCAATTAAGTTTCATATAAAATACTTTCTGATGAACCCATTTCAATACTTACTTTGCTATGTATATAGCTACATATTTGTCATTTCATGTGTAAGTATTTGCATTATGACAATTTTATTTTATCATAAAATAGAAGATGTAGAACTGCAATTTATTTATATAAATATCCCCCAAGGCAAGGTCAAGAATGTACCTTCCTCTCAGTATTTTGTTCTTATTGTACCTAAAGTGAAATGTATCAGTTGTGTAACAAAATATTTTATTGTAAAACACGATACAACAAATCAACACAGATGAACACAAATTTAACCACTGGCCATTTAACCACTGGCCATTTGTCTTTATTCCTATGAAAACATGTAGTGATTTCTATACAAATGACCAAAAAACTAAGGTTACAATGACCCAAAATTGTATCATAACTTCAGTCTTTAGGTCAAACAGTTGACATTTGGCTGTTAAAACAAAACAGTTTTAGTAAACTTGAACTACATTATTATGAATAAAACAAAAGGCAGAAGATTAAAGGATAAAGCCATAAATAAAATTACTGCAGATTTTATTTCACAAAAGAAAGGTGATTCAACTCTTCATTTTATGAACGCAACGTCTGGGATCTTGCCTTCCGTCTGAAAAGAGAAGAGGAAAAAGTATTTTAGGGTGTTATAAAAAATGATCAGTTTCCTAGAGATGCAGAGTTCAAGTGAGTCATGTTACCTTTAACTGAGTGAATATTTGTGCCGCTCTGTTGAAATCCCACTCGTTGTCTTGTAGACACCTACGACAGAAGAATTGTTCACTTATTTTATATTAAGTTAATAAATTATGGTCGTGCATTAGGGCTGCATGATTTGGAGAAAAAGTCATATTGCGATAATTATAGCCAATATTGCAATTTGATAATAATGGAACAAATGTTACTATGAGTCTACTTGATTAATTATCAAGGAATGCGCAAAATGCTGACATTTTGAAATGTGTATTTCTCAACTTGAACAAAGTTAAATATTTATTACAACTAGTAAAACAGATGTAAAACAGAACAAGGGGAGTGTGTTACTCTACAGAGGCGGCAGCTAGAAGCAGCACATATTTGCACACTCGCACCAGCTCAATGTACATCTGTCTAATGCAGAGTCTCTTTCTACAACCTAAAGGAGGAACTGTCCATGAGTGTATTAAATAAATAGTATAATGTTTAGTTATAGTATACTGAAAGTATAACAATAATATACTACATTCAATATAATTTCATATAATAGTATACTATTTTACCACAGCTGAATATTAAATCCCGTTACAGCTGTTTCATTTATGTGGGTTGTTTTTATTCATTAAATCCTTGTGCATGCTTTACATTGCGTTAACAAATTAGAGACCAAAGTACTAACTTGTCAATAATAATATTGTTCAACATTTAATGATTTGCTCTAGCACATCAAACTTTTTTAACGTCTCGCCCCATCCAGGCTGTGATTGGTCGGTTTTCGAAAAGTGACTGACAAGCATATCTCCCCTGTGAAAAGTTGAACAACTAAATGCACTGATACAGTAGGGCTGGACCCGAATATTCGACAGTTAGATTTTCGATTATTGAGGTTTTTTTTCCGTGTGCCTGATCTCCGACAGCAGTTAAAGTAACGCTCCAGTTCACATCAAAGGGAAAACAAAATCAAGTCCTCAGATGTGTGGGAGCACTTTAAACAGGGATGACAGCAGTAGTGTGGCAGTTATGGCCTTTATTCATTTTACAATTGCTTGATTTCATTACAAAACAAAACAGTCAAATTTCCTACATTTTAAAATTAATCAGTAAACTGCAGGCTGGAAACAAAAACAATAACATAACTACGATACAGCTAACATTGATTGGCCAGCGCGCCAAAATCAAAGCTTCTTTATCTTCTCCCTGTTTTCTTCTGTCTGACCACTTCAACGTCTCTGTCACAGAGCGACCAGAGCACCGGCATTTCTCTTGGTGCTCCAGTGGTGCATCCGACTATGTTTTGAACGATTAGCGGCAGGGCGGGAAGGGGGGTTACTATAGCCTGCTGTCTTAAAAGTTACTGGCACACTGCTCAATTTTTCTCATTGCAGTAGGCTTATCTGTTTTTAGGGGCACATGAGAGCCCCGTGTGGGCGGAAATAGTGAGCAAACTGCAGCGCACACAGAAGACAGCATCACACACACCTTTTACAGTTTTATTAAATTGCACACTTTTTGCGGTTATGTAAACGCACATGACCACATGATATCGCAATTGCGATTAGATTTATTGTGCAGCCCCATCGTGCATCATTGCCAACCAAACATGCACAAAAACAAGACTTACTTTTGGGACCATTCCAGGTTCATGCCAGACGTCAATGAGAAGGCTGTGAGCATCTCCTGCTGCGGTGCAGTGAGAGTGGGGACAGGGCTGGACGATGGAGTCGGGGCTGGAGCAACGAAGGCTCGGCGGATCTCCTCCGTTGTGGCCATCCGGATGAAAAGCTGGTCGTTCACGATGCACAACCTGCGGCACAGGAAGAATGCAGCAGACAGACAGACAATGACATATGACTGTTTCAGGGATTTCATGAGGAGTTGAGCGTCCATTTTCTTGGCATTTTATTCAGAGGTGTTGATTAATATTAAGAATGTATTAGCATTATATAGGTGTAACTAAAAACGGAAAACCATTTAATTTTATTTCTATTTTGATTAGAGCTGATCAGAAAAAAAATCTGGATGCCTGCATGGATGTTTTCATATGAATGAAAACTGTATTTAACCTCTTAACATTCCTGTAAAATTCATGCAAAACGCCTATTCGAGGTATATCCAAAGTAAATTGAATGTAGTTCTTGAACCATTTGGAGTACATGCATGGTTTTAGATTTCTCTGAAAGATAACACTCTGGAGTGTCTGACCCAAAAGTCAGAATGATTGTAAGTGCTACTGGAATTGATTAAGTTTAAACACACTAGAACTAATATATTTTTCATTTCCGCTTCAAAATGCTTGCTAACAAATGCATGCAGATAACTATAGCTGGGGCTTCTTAGCTGGAAAACACTGTAGGACCACAGGATTAGCATTACCTAGTCCTAGTTTAAAGCCCCCCCCTCCAGTGTATTTTGACATTTCTATGATATTTCATATTTTTCTGTGTCATTTCCTTACAATGTTGATTACCCACATAGTTCAAATATTTTTTGACAAATGGTGTAATTTTGTGCTCAAAGTTGCAAATGTTGCTTAGTTGTTCAAATGGTGTGCTGACGTAGGACTATAGTAATTCCATAAGTCATACGTCATTCTCCAAGCTTGCCCAGGCTCTCTCTGTGTCTGACTGTTGGTTTGTCTTTCTAGTTTAGTTAGCTAAGTTAACTAAGTTGTAGTTAGCCAGGTGCAGTTAGCTAGCATAGTTATTGCAGAAAGTTAGCTAACAGAGGGTCTTCATTTTATTTTTTAGTTTCTTCCTCTTGGTTTAGTGTGCTGTTTATTTTCATTATGGCATTTTTACGTGTGGTGTTGGAGGACAGATGACAGAAAACGCATCGCACTTTCACCTGCCACCGTCTTATATACAGTCTGCAACATGCATTTTACTGACGGCCGTTTTACCAATGCATCGGCGGATGTGAATGGTATCAGAAGTCTTTATACACAGTTCAGAGTAATAGACCCCCCCACACACACACACCCCCGCGGTAAAGTAAGTGCACCATAAAACACAGTGGGAGTTATTGTGTGCAGTGCGTGAGAGGACCATCGACTGTATGATTGCTAACAGCGGAACCACGCACATTAGTTTTTATCATGGGTAAGTAATGGCTACTCCTGCCAGACACTTAAGTGTAACGTTACTAAACTTTAGTGTAGTGATGTTAACACAGCCTATCGTTACTGAACACTCCAGCTGGTCAGTTTTTGGTTGTCATGGTAGTGTATTACATCTGACTATTAACCACACCCCCATTCTCTGTTTGAGAAAGAACGTTAACCAAAAACGCCAGTTAAAACTGGAAGCAGGGGGCTTTAATTTTCATACCAATACCATGAAAAAGGACTATTTTACACAGGTTTTTCTGAGTGTAACATTATGTCTTAGCGTATTTTTTCTAAAACAGCACTGCTGTTTTGCTTCGTTGGCCTCGGATCCATGCTTCCCCATTTCTCTGTCAGCCAGTTGTTGGACCCCTCTGGATACTGAAGTATAAAGTTAGTTTTCGGGATGTGCAGTGTGGGTGCGGGGCAGGGCTGTGCTCCGGTTTATTCTGGGCTTGTGCCTGGAGTTCTCGGCCCTTGACGGGTGGGTGGGTTGGTGGTGGCATGCAGCTGAGCTGGTTGATATTGCCTCGTTGCTGGCTTGGCTGGTGTTGCACGGCGGCCAGGGGGTGTGCTGTGCATGGGGGATGTCGGCTGGCGCAGGCGGCCTTAGTTTTTTCCGGCGGTTGGGGGGACTGTTGAGAATTATTTTAGAACATTACAGCCTAAATTGTTATCATTAATTGCTAGAGCGAAGGTGGTCTGCATTGGCATCATTTCAATTATTATTTTAGAGTGTAAAGTTAAGATTACAGTGTCAAAACTCTATAGCTATTGTCATCATTTAGAGTGCTATTTTATAGTGTAAAGTTAAGATCACAACGCTGAAACACTATAGCTCAGAGTGTGTGGTCCTCTGTGTTTAGCTGCCCGGAGACAGTAACAGTAGCACATGTGTGTGTAAGCAGGCATGTGTGCTCTGGGAGCAGAGTGAGCACAGCAAGGCATCATCAAAAACACCAGCAAAGGAAAATGTAGAAGCAGAATTAGTGAAAATTGTGTTACAAAACATACATCAATACAGTAAGAATGTCCTGTCTATAGCACACAGCACAAGAGACACAAGCTTATTCCACAAAGTCAAGTTCTTGGTTAAAATAGCATGATCAGCAGAGGGTATGCCTAGGACACAGAGAGGGGGAGCATTGCAGACAAAAAGTTAGACATCAGTCAAGAAACAGTCATAAGTGATTATCCTTAATCGATATTAATAAGTGCATGCTTTGTTCTGCGGTAATCTACTGTTGTGATTACATGAGGAACTGCTGATGTATTAATCTACTAATATTAAGACTACGTGCTTAATTACTGATTAAGGGGGTTTGATTGTCAACTTTCAACTTCTGGTTATTATAGCCAGTATGAGCTTTGAGTGAATTTGCTTATGACCTGTGTGAGCTTTGAGCGAACTTGCTGAAGGAATTCATGCTTTGCAAAAACACGACAGAGGATGACCAAAAAACCGACAGATGCTTGGCAAAAACACGACAGACAGATAAGCAGAAAGCAGCCAGCATAACATCAAGAATGCTGTAAGAAACCAAGCATTAATTTCAATGCAACTTTACTTATGTTATTCTTATATTAATTGCTTTATATAATACAGTTGTGTGTCAAATTAAGCATGCGTACCCTTTAAAAAACACAACGAGACTGAAGTTGAAATGTAAATGATGAACTTCTTATACAGTAGTATAAAGATGAAGAAAATCTACATTACAGTAATAAATGACAGCTGGGAAACAGTGTTAATTGGTAAAAACACCTAAATAAAAGAGGAAAAGAAGTTCATCATGAGAAAAGGAGGGGGCCCAGAAGAGATATATATAAGACTGTCTGCAGACCAGAGGATGGACTTCATCCTCCGACCTGCTGGGATGTTGTACGGGTTTACGTGTCCTGTTTTGGAATAAACTCTTTTTGCACCGACTCTTGACCGTCTCCAGAGAAGTTTCTGCCTGCCTGAGTTATTGACTACCGTAGAAAGCTGGAGTATTTTTTGACAAAGTTTATTAAGTTGGTGAAGGTGGGGACCAGGCTTAACTGGCCCAGCCTGGTCGTACATCTGACCCAACAGGACGGCAGACTTTTATTGGCGGGTGCACGGTGGCCTGTGCGGTGCGTTTACTGGCGGGCTGGGACTTGCTGCTGGTGTTTCTCTCCGCTGGCTTTCGCTGTCGTGTTCTTCCGCTCGCTCTCTCTCGTTTGCCCGACCTCGCACGCGGGATTCGCAGGGGGCTGCTGGGCATTGGGTGTCGCCGTGCTCGCGCAGTGTGCGCGTTGGACTCGTCACTTGTGCATTGGTGTTGATGATTGCGTGGCATTTGGGCGTTTTGGTTGTTCACTGCGCGGCGGTGGGGTGCTGGGTGGGTGGGGGGGAGCACTGGTCTATGTTGTGTGCGCGCCGCGGTCGGTCCGGGCACTGATCTTCCGCGAGTTACGCTTCTTGCGTTCCGTCGGCATTGTGTTGTCAACTGGCAATTGGGTCGGGGTCTTCCGCGTTTGCATCGCGGTGCATCTGGGAGTCTTTGTTTTTTTGTTTTTTTAGTCCCCCCCCTTCTCTTTTCGTTCTCCCACCCCTATTGGCTACTGGGGTTCTTGCGTGCCTGTTGCTGGGATAAGTGTGGCACAGTCGTGGCGTCCCACTCTCACTAACAACTACATTCTTTAACAGGCTTATGCGCACACATGTACACACACACACACACACACACGCAAATTTAGGTTGTCCCTGGTAGAATTATTCCTGATGCTTTTCTTTCAGTTACTCATTTAAATTAATTGTTATTATTCCAGCTCTCCTGGCTGTGCTGTGTTGCTTATTTAGTGTGCTTGACTGTTTGTTTTCATTGTTCTCTTAGTCTTACTATGTCAGCTGTTTATTGCTGCTGTTTGGCTGGTTGTCTTTTACTATTATTATTATTGTTTGTTTTTGTTGTCGTTTTTCCTCCTCCCCAAGCCCCCCTCTCTGTTCTATTGCAGGTTTTGTTGCTGCCGCACTGCCACTTGGCGGCAGGTGGCTGCTGCTGCATTGTCCATATTAGCCGGTAGCTTGACGCAGATGTGTTTTTTTTGCTGGTAGATCATGAACTTCCTACTTAAAAGCTAGATTGTTATTTTCAGATTTTTATTGGCTACACGAAGTGCCAGTCATCGGCACAATTGCTTGCAATTGGCTTGGCCTTCCCACGAAATAATAGGGGCTGGCCCTTCCTTACAGCGCAGGCTCTCGTTGGATATTGAAGGCTGTGAGAGGGACATGTGAGCTCCTATTGGGTCGGATTTGGTGTCACTCGAAAGGTTCGAGTTCAGCGGCTAATTTGAATACAAGCCATCGTAGTTATTTACATTCAAATTGGCGTTATTACGGTTATAATGACATACGAGCCACATCTGCCGGCAAATATGAAACAATGCGGCAGCAGTCCCTGGGGATTTATTGATGGAATAATGTGTTTTGGACTTAATCTTTTTACTGGATTGGCTCCTCTGGACCTTTGACAATGCAACAAGACCATTTTTGTTGGAATATAATCGATCTGTAGATTACCATGGGGCTTCATAGGTGAGTCGTGACAATTTTGATTGTACTGGTTGGTCTGACAGAAGCGCTGATTGTATCTTGAAATGGTTTGCATTGGTCGCATTGGCCAGGACCTGAGGGCCCGTGGGCGTTGGAATGTTAAGAGGTTAAGGCCCATTTAAACATTAGTCTCTGTATAAATGTAGCTAGTTGTGTTATTATGGGCCATTAGGTGGCGTACTGGTAAAAGTACAACTGAAATCACATTTACTCAACCCTTTTTGTAGTCAAAAATAATGTTGTTTTTTTTAAATGTATTGTTAATAGTTATTAAAAAGAAGGAAAAATGTCTGATTTGTGTGGATCTTAGTGATTTTAAAACTCAGAGCTTTTTATTCATGAATGTTATTTCACAGGATGTAAAGCAGAAAACACAAAGATGTTTGTCCTGATGTCCAGTTCATTTTCTCAAAGATCCACAAGTGATGGTACTAATTTAGTACCTTTTCCCCTCCTCTGGGAAAATGTGAAAACAACATCTAGATGATACAACCCACTGGGAGCTCACTAAACTTACCCAGTAGTCCCTGCTGGGACTGTGATGAACACTCGAGAGAAGGACATGGTGGACTCTCGGGATTTACCATCAACAGCAACTGAAAAACAGTCACAACACAAATTAGTTTTGACATGGATGACTGAGAACCTTCACAGACAACACAAATAAGTGACAAAACCAACACCACTTATCTTTGCATCAAAATTTTAAATCATGATGACCAAACAACTCACCTTCTTTGAAGACTCCGCTCACTGTGAATGACAATAGTGTGTTCTGTAAACAGAAAACATTTTTGCAGGGTTAATACAGAGAAATGATTCACATAGAGAGGAAAAGGAAAGTGATAAGCTGACAGAACAACTCACGGTGTAGGTGTTTACATCGACAGTAAACGAAGCAATGTCGTGCTGAGTTTTGGGCAACTCATTGAGGAAAGCCACCACGTTCAGTCGTGTGTGCTTCAGAAGCCGAAACCGCATCGCTGAAGGAGGGAAGATTCAGACAGGGAAAGATCAGCAGGCATCTCAAATCACAAAAATATTCAGTCTCAACAATTCAGCCGCTATTATAAGTCAACAGCTCGACAGGTAAACTCACTAGAGTCTTTGAGCCTCTTCAGGTTTCGACTGTCTTTATGGTACTCTCCCAGACTGCTCCTAAAACCAGAGGAGAGGCATAGATGGATTCAATGTGAATCAAGTTGCGACTCAGACAGGGAGATGTAAGGAGTGGGATCAGGTATAAGAGCAGACAATGATGGGTGGAGCTACGCAAACATCTTTAAAATGAACGACTTACATTGGAAACACTGAAAAATGGTACTTCCTATTCCTCTTTGTGCTAAACAATGTCATTATGTGTACACAGACGTCTGTGTTTTCTTACCTGGAGGGGTTCTGGGTGGAGTAAGGTGTTGTGAGGGATAACGATGCTCCATCGTGGTAAGCATCCAGGAGTGGCTGTCTGTCCCCCGAGTCATATATACTGTAGTACCTGCAACACAGTCAGATGTCACGTGAGTTAGTTTACTTGTGATTCTTTCTTGACCCTTTTCTGGAAGTGAAATTTAAAAAGCAGTACTGGTTAATCAGTTACTGGTTAACCCTGGAAAACAAGCACAGATCAACCGACTGCTGTGATTACACTGTTTGTATGAAAGCTAGAAACTCACTGTTGCAAGAACCGAAGGATGAGAGCCTTGATTTCATCAGTGCCAAAACAGCTGCCCTGCATTGTCAATTGGAAAAACATTTGTCAGGTACAAAGACAATAATTGTCTTGAGACTTTCACATGAAGGACAATGCAGCTTAAACTTCTGAAGTTAGTTATTAAAAAAATTAACACCTTGGAGAGTTGTACTGAATGTCTTGTACACCAAAAGACTATAAATATACTATCAAATGAGATAAAACAGTAACCTTGCAGGGGGGGATAGTGGTGGGCGTCTCCACATCAAATCCAATGGGAGGGGGGAGGTCGTGACCATCCTGAACACATGAGGGTTACATTAATGAAATAAGCAATGGCGGAACTTTCTGCCACTCTGCATTGATTTCTTTAGGAATATGACAGAATTCATGTACTGAAAATGTATTTCACAGATGTATGGTTTCAAAACCAGACAAAATTTACACTGTCATTTACTTTAAAAAGTGGGCCATACAGTGCTGCATTATTACCAATCAGAAATACTTTATTGATCCCCAGGGGAAAAATTCTTTGTCACAATTGCACACTTGTCAAGGCATAAGGAATAGAAATAGTAATAAAAGGTAGATACATAAAGAGTATATAAATATGAGTATAAATATAAAATATAAGAAAAATATAAAGTGTGGGTATATACATTATTTACTTTATAAAATAATTATGGTGAACCAAAAAGGACTAGTGAATAAATAGCAGCAGAGAATATTGTACATTAATTAAACAGATAATATTGCACAAAAATAGATAATATAATCCAGTTTAAAAACTAAGTGTCCGTGTGTCAGAAACTTGGAGGGAGGAGTTATAAAGTTTGATGGCCACAGGCAGGAATGACTTCCTGTGGCGCTCTGTGGTGCATTTTCGGGGAATAAGTCTTGCACTGAAAGTGTTCCTGTATTTGATTTGCACATCATGGAGTGGGCGGGAGACATTGTCCAAGATGACATGTAGTTTGGACAGCATCCTCCTCTCTGACACCACCGACAGAGAGTCCAGCTCCACCCCCACAACGTTACTAGCCTTGCGGATCAGTTTGTGGAGTCCGTTAGCGTCCGCTACCCTCAGCCTGCTGCCCCAGCATGCAACAGCAAACAGGATAGCACTGGCCACCACACACTCACAAAACATCCTCAGCATTGTCCTGCAGATGTTGCAGGACCTCAGCCTCCTCAGAAAATAAGAGACAGCTTTGGCCCTTCCTGTAGAGGGCTTGAGTGTTCTTGGCCCAGTCTAGTTTGTCAAAGTGCACTCCCAGGTATTTGTAATCCTCCACAATGTCCACACCAACACCCTGGATGGTAACACGGGTCACTGGTGCCTTTGCTCTCCTTAGATCCACAACCAGCTCTTTAGTCTTTGTCACGTTGAACTGCAGATGGTTCTGCTCACACCATGTGACAAAGTCCCCCACCACAGCTCTGTACTCAGCCTCATCACCCTTGCTGATACATCCAACCACAGCAGAGTCATCAGAAAACTTCTGAAGATGGCAGGACTCTGTGCGGTAGTTGAAGTCCGTGGTGTAGATGGTAAAGAGGAATGGAGGAGAGGACAGTCCCCTGCGGGGCCCCGGTATTGGTGACCGTGCTGTCTGAGCACCGAACTGGAGGGGGTTCAGGAGAGGTCGGACCATGGGCCGCAGCTGATCCAGAACCAGTCTCTCCAGTCAGCGCCACAGGTCTGTAGTCCTTGGAGTCACTGGGACTTGATGTCTTTGGCACAGGCTTTGAGCATCCCGGGACGGACACCATCAGGGCCTGCAGCCTTATTAGAGTGGAGTCTCCTCAGCTGTCTTTCACCTGGTCAGCAGTGAGGTACACAGAGGTCACAGGTGGGGGAGAAGAGGAGTTGTTAGGCTGGAGAGAGCTGTTAACTCGAGAGCCAGAGGAGGGAGTAAGGATCTGCCAGGAGGAGGCCTGGGGACAGTGAGGAGGAGGAAGGGGGAGTAGTTGGTTTGGAGCTGAGGCAGCAGCTGAGTTAGTGGGGAGATGGGCAGGAGCCATAGTATCAAATCTGTTAAAGAACAGATTAAGTTCGCTGGCCCTGTCCAAGCTGCCTTCAACTCCTCTACTGCCAGTGATGTTCCTCATGCCACTCCAGACCTCCCTTCATGTTGTTCTGCTCGAGTTTACGCTCCAGCTTCCTTCTGTACTTCTCCTTAAGTATACTTCTGCGTCAAATTGACGGCATAGCCTCTGCATAGCTCCCTACACAAAATGACTCGAAAGTCAACACAGTGGAAGCTGTGGCACTACTGTCGACTAGCGTTTGGGGGTGTAATTGCAGAATGACGGACAGACCTATGCACAAGTATAAATGCATGGCTAAGTGCATAGCGGAAGAGCTGTTTGCATCCTGAACGTTAGCATACAGCAGATCCAGGGTCCTCTCCTCTCTAGTATGGCAACTCCCATACTGGGTGAAGCTGGTTAGAGTGGTTGTCATGTTGACGTGGTTGAAGTCACCCGAGATCACTATGAGGGCATTCGGGTGTTGAGTCTGGAGTTCAGCAATGGCAGAGTCGATGACATTACACGGCGACGTCGGGTTGGCAGAGGGTGGAATGTAAACTGCAACGGCGATGGCATGTGAAATTTCCCGTGGCAGATAATATGGCCGGAGTCCCATAGCAAGCAGTTCAGGGTCCGGGCTACAGATACGTTGTTTAACCGTAATGTGACTGGGATTACACCATTGTTAACTAGAACGGCAAGCCCCCCCCCCCGCCTTTACGCTTACCGCTCTCAGTGCAATTTCTGTCGGCCCGAACAGTCTGAAAGCCGTCGATGGAGACGTTGTAGTAAGGAATATCTGAGTGTAACCAAGTCTCCGTGAAGCACATTACACTACACTCCCGGAACTCCCTCTGACTCTGGGTTAACGCTGTTAGCTCGTCCATCTTATTAGCCTTCGCTGTTTTGTTCCTCCTCTGCAACCTGTGTGTCCTCCTCTAGATCTCAGTGGGGATGGGCGCCCCGGTCGGCTTCAGATGGGATCAGATGGTCCCAGGTGTAAACAAAGCGTGAAGTTGCTGCGCAACGGCGCCCTGGCTTACCAAAACTCTCTCCACTTGCATGATTTGAGAGAGTCTAGTTTAAATTACGTGTAGACCAAAAATCACACACGTGAGATATAAAAAAGAAAGTTAAAACAGGCTGCATGCACATTGGCGCATGCACACTATACCAATATAATATCAATAATAAAAAAGAACAATGGAGTGATGTAATCAGTTCATGAAAAATATAAAAAGACACTATAAACATTGCAGGGTTTCCCCAGGAAATTGGGGATTTTGTCTCTACTTTGTCTTAGATATTTTGCTCAACAACCCATAGGCCTTTCATTTTGTACTTTTTTGATGTGATAGTGTTTGTATGTGATATTGCAGTGTTTCCCCAATATGCATTCATGAATCATGACCGCCGCTACTAAAATTTCCCACGATAATTAAACTATGTGCTACAAATGTTTTCACTCGCACACTGTGGGGATATGGCAACACTCAATGCTTGGCTAGCTTCCTCTAATCGTTCTATACAAAACATCTATGTGACAGATGCTGTTATAACAGCGTAACTCCTGTAAGGAATCAGGAGGTGCGTAGTGAGTGCTTGATTGTACGAGCGACAGAAAGTGATGGTGAACGCGAGCGGCGGAAAATATTCTGGAGTAAATGTACGGTGTCTGTTACAGTGTGTCAGCTTCTCAAGACCAAGAAAAGGCTGTTGTTTCCCCACCTGCTGGAAAAGTGAAGCCTGTTAGCGCTTAGTTAGCTAACATCCCCCCTCCCCTTCAGACTGAGCTGAGCAGGAAAGCTTCAACAGCAGGCTGCGTCTTTTGGCTGCTATATAACTTAACATTAGCTCAATATAAAGTAACCGGTAGCTGTATTTTATTACTGCCTACTTGTAGAGAACATCAGATTCAATCTCAGAGTAAACTGGTGTAGCCTGCAGCTCTGTCCTGTACAGACTGGTTCAATTATTTTTCAGAAGTGTGGTTGTTAGGAAAAGAAAGGACGGAGGTGACTGGAGGAGCTGAGGTTAGTAAAGCAAATTAGTGATGCAAACTAGTCCTTTTAAGCTAATGAGACAACGTTTCTTTTTGGATTTTAATGTGCAAATAAGATGCACCTCAGAAGGGAGGAGGTTTCTCATGTTGCATACAAAAAGCAAACATGAACAACTGTATCTATAACGATTTGGAGGTCATATTAACAGGGTTTTAGGGGGTGATGTCCAAAACATGCTGTGCAATAAATGTCAAATCACTGTGGAGAGCATCATAACCAACCAAATAACTTTCCCCAAATCTAAATTTTGTAGTTCCTCCCCAGTAGACTGATCTTTTGCCGTTGGTCATTATCTGCTCTAGCTTTTCCAACTCTTTGTTCAGAGACTTACCAGTTTGAGAAGCCGGGGAAACCTCTGCCGCACAGCACTGGTACAGGAAGAAAAATCAAGAGCAGGAATGTTATCATCACGAACCACACCACACAAATAAAATCATGTATATTACTGTAGATATGAGAGTCAGTCACACCTGCTGGCCCACTTAAGGCCATTTTTCTGCCTTTTAGTTGATGTAATATAAGCGGCTATGTTGTCAAAAATATATGTTGTCATATATAGATACATGAAAATGGAGAGTAATTACAAACTGTGCCACAGGGGATTTAACCTTTATATACACATGAATCGATATATGGACTATCATATGCACCCTTATCCTCCCTTCAGTTTCAAGCTTTGCCCGTCGACAATTCTCCCACCCCAAAGTGTACTTACCAGCAGGCATACTCACCCTCTCCCACAATATGGAGATATACACAGATCTGACATGGGGAAGCAACACAAGCACACTTTTCTAGAAGCACACACATAAAAACACCCACGATCTACCGGACTGCGCTGGAAACCAATAAATACATCCATTTTGAATTAGCTGGGAGAGGTGGTTACTGCCAGTCGCGTGTCAACTCCCCCCCACCCCCCAAACTTTGGCCAAGATGCTGGAGAACAGATGAGTCTACGACACCAAAAAACAAACTGGATCTGGGTGAAAAAAATATATTAAGTGAAATTCACACAAACACCAGCACAGGTAGTCTAACGTTCAGAAGAGGCGGCAATCACTATTCATCATGTCAGTGAGTTTGTCAGTGTGTGTGTCCATGTTTATCGGCCAAGAAAGAGAAACCTGAAAAGAAAGCTGAACAAAAAAATAAAAGCTTGCCTCTAAGTGAGCTGGATCCAGCAGTCCCACCACTCATCCTAAAGCTTTCCTCTGCTGCACAAGCAAAGCAGTTACCAGTTCAGTATCTCATAGCCACCATCAATTCTGAAGAGATGGGTCTTCATGCATTAGCAGCAACTGGACTTCATACTGTAGATTTTCTATGTTAAATTGGGCTTGGGCCTCTGGTTAGAGGGACTGGGAGATCAATAAGCATTCGACTTTAGTGATAATTCTCTACTCTGCTCTCTCTGCTTAACATTTGAGCTTTTTTGTACTGGTCACAGCCATCAGAAACTGGAAGAGGAAGTTTTTTTCTCCATTTGACTTATGTCAGGCAAAACTGAACTTCAATTTCCAGTTCAGTTATTCCCCTCAGAAGTTAGTTAAGGGTATTTGCCAAACTCCACTTCATTCATTGACCAGCAGAGGCCTGTTTTAGGCCAAAGAGAACCAACTTAGTGGAGAAGACAGAGAGCTTTTTCTTTGGCTCATCATTGGTCATTAATAAATGACATGTATCCCCCTCCGCCTCAGCCCAACGGCTTCTCCTCTTGTCCCATCTTCATTTCTTCTAGTTGTGTTCTCAGCGAGTCAGAGCTCATAGGGACTGAGGCCGAGTAATCGTGACTGTGCCTGCCTTAGGTTGTCCCGGTGTTTTGAGGTGGGATCTTACCCGTCATTGGCTATCCAGCCTTCCATACTCGCCTGATACAGGGGTGCCGTGCGGGCAAGGGTGCTATGAGGGGAGGGGAAATCATTGGCTGTGGATTTTTTGTTTCATCCAAACATTTGTCAAGACAACTGTGGATTGCCCTCTCTCCAATAAACAACCTCCACTGTTTACAGTACTGCTCAAGAGATTGCTTCGGATTCTATTTTCGAAAGCAGTTCATAGTAAATTGTGGTAGAGGGTTGTTGTGCTGAACATCTTTTAAAAAGCACTTCTTCTCAGAATTACATATCACCAGTAGAGTGATGGTGTATGGGATAACTAATCAGGACGTCAGCAGGGGAGTGCTGGGTACAGCATCACTGAGAACCATAAAACAGAACAGAGCTTGACAGGAGGTCCCCACAGAGAAGCTGACTAAGTGGCACAGAGAAGATGGCCATCAAACTGAAGAGTTTATGCAAGCTGAAAGAAAAACAAAGTGGAACTACATCATGGTTAGATGTCCTCTCAGCAACTTTTGGATGAAAGAAATATTTAGTCTGCAGTGTGAAAGTGAAATGTTTATCCTCAAGTGGCAAGAAATGTGTAAAACAAAAACAAGAATCATTTAAACTAATTTCCACACCCGTATTCACAAACACAGGGAGTTAACGGTGAATGTCAGTTAGCTCTGCTTGGTCCAAAAGTACATCCTTGACTGCTGGGGAAATGGTTTCAGTTATTGTGCACAAACCCAAAAATGATTGCTTGATCTTCTTTTGTAGCACACTGCTGCATACTCATCATAGAGTCAGGACTCCTGAACATCCCTACTCGCACACAAACAGGCACACCACTGTGTCCCGGCATAAGATCTTCTCCCCTCACCCCCCAAAATCACTGACTGACCTGATGTATGAGGCCTGATCCTTGAAAAGGTCGCACAGAGGGTTCCTGTTCAGCCACAGCTCCACCAGCTTCAGGCCTTTCACCTTTTCCAGCTCCCGGTCTGACTTCAGCTGGACAACCACACAGAAACAGAACAAGTTGGTGTGAGATGAGGATTTAAAGGGGCCCAATTCCTGCCTGGTTATTATTCTCAAGATCCACTGAACAGCCAGTTTCACCTCATTGTGGGAAAGGTTGAGGGTCTTCAGATGAGGCACCTTGGTAACCAATTCGGCAAGTTCATCCAGTTTATGAATACGGTTGTTACTCAGGTTCAAACACATCAGCTGGCAAAAGACACAGAGACGTGTGTAAGCACATTCAGTTTGACCCATTACTTATTTACAGCAGTCACATTATGATATATAATACTTTGTTGCTTATTTTCCAGCAAATATCAAAAACATCTATTGTATTAATCTTACCTCTGGAATGTTTTCTTCAATGATCTTGATGACAGCTTCCATGTTAGTCTTCCTATTCAAGATGACTTCAATGTTCTGGGACACCAAGTCTGTCATATAAAATCAAATTAGCAAAAACCTAAAATACATATCCCAAACTGGAAAATTATTTAATATAATTTTCAGTGATGTAAAGTAATAAAATAAAGTTCTGTTCCATCACCAGATTGTGCACACCATCTATTGAATCCTCAGTGTAAAAAAGCATGTAAAACTCAGAACATAGAAAGACTAGATCCCAGTTTAAAATAAATTTTAAAAATAGTGTATAATTTAGTTGTTTTGCAGTACTGTTGGAAGCTGGTTGCATCCGATTTCAATATCACATCATACACAAAAGGAAAGGAAGAGGAATATGAAAAGAATGACAGAATATAATTACCTGGGTCTGTGCGGATGTTGTTCAAGTCCAGTGCTTGCTGGGAGCCATCAAAACGTTTTGCCATGCATTGCTGTAAAAGATAAACAACAGTCAACATGAGGCCTCATCTGAACAGCAAAGAAATAGTTTAAATTAATAGATACTTCCTCCAAATGCATTTTAATGAAGTTATGGGCTGAAAGAAAATATGAAATCAATATGAAAATTAATGCCTAAAAAATGTATTCCTAAAACATCTGTTACTTAGAAAATATAACACTCAAATGCCCCGTTCAACTTCTGTCAAATCATACCAAATATTGATCTACTTCGTTTCATGTATTTTGATCTACACTGACTCTCATCAGAACAAATAAAATTTTAACCACAGTAACCAGCCCCATTCAGACTTCCTCTAGCTCACCTTCAGGTGATCCAAGTGTTCAGGCTTCAGGTCAGAGAGGAGGAAGGATGGTGGAGCACTGGGGTTGACGTGCACTTCCACCTTGATAAAAAAAAAAAGAAAGAAAAAAAAAAGGCAGAATGAGAGAGATTAATAAAAAAGATATATACTGTACACATGTTGAGTTTTGGATTACGTGTGATTTATTGTTATTCATTATATATGAAGTCATGGTTGAAAAACTTTGGTTTGGGAATTTTGTGACGATGTGTCAAAGTAGAATTCCTCCTGCGGACAGTATAGCCATTATCTGCAAGCAACACACGATAATTTTACTAAATAATAATACTTTCTGTAGGGTACCTTATAGCCGTCTGTGTCTGTGATCTTGTGAGAACATTTGTGCAAAGCATTGGCAGCTGACGAATCATCCACGTAGAAATGGACCCTGTTATGGTCAACGTGGTACTGGACAGACCCGGGGGGGGGGGGGGGGGGAGTACAATTCAAAAAGTCATACACACTTTCCCTATTCATCTACTTATTCTTTTATTTCTTTTATCAGAACTCAAAGCACCCTGAATGCATTTACAAATAAAAACACCAGGCTAGAAGGTCATTAATATATTGTTTTTTTCCCCTCAACCCAATTGCATTAACTTCAGAAATACACAATAGCTCTTTTTAAATCTATTACTTTATAATTTGTCATAAGACAGTGTAACACTGAACCTTACCTGTACAGGTGTGTAGGGAACTGAACAGATGTTCTGAAGGGCTGTCAATAACCATTTCTTATCATATTTTCTTCCGTGTGGTATCTGTCAAACAAACAAAGAAGCAAAATATGACATAGCAGTAGAGGTTTGGATTTCTTGTGGAGATAGTGTTAATAGGATATTTTACAATACTCACTGTTATTTTGTACCAGCCTGACCGGTTTCTCCCGCCTCCATTGTTGCCTCCTCCACCTCGATCTCCTCCTCTAAAGCTGCCTCCTCCTCCTCCTCCTCCTCCTCCTCTACCTCCTCCCCCTTTGCCTTGTCGCCTGTCTCTGTCAAACCGTCCATCTCCTCCTTTCCGAAAAGGTCTTCCATATGGGTTGCTAAAGAAAAAAAAAAGTCTATATATTTAAACATTCCTCCTTAAGTCAGTGTCTAGCATGTGAACTACATCAGCACTCTCAACAGTGTAATGGTATACTCTTTTTTTCATGCCTTTTCATTGTAAACAAACAGTTCTGTTTACATTCAATGATTCTCACCTATTCTTAAGTCTTTACACACATTTTGAATCCACTTCCTACCTCATGAAATCATCAAAGCAAAGTTTTCTTCCTTTCCCTCCTCTTTTATGACTGTTTTGCCTCCCTTTATGGTGCATTTACACCACCAACTGTTACTGCCTCAGCAACCTCCTGCAGGTTGCTGCAGGCTTCCCCCGCCGCCACTTGTGGAGCTCCACAACTCCAAAAACTTTAAAGCACATTTTTTTTCCCCGCCATCCCTTCTCATAAAAATGTCAATATTCGAAATCTAGTGATGATCTAACATATGAAAATCTAATCTAAAACCATTACTGTGTAGAATTAAACATTGTTTTACTGTAGAGATAAATGCAGTTGAATTACGTCACATGTGACAAACTGTACCCCACTCTCCTTTAAACACCAGTCATAGCGCCTTTCTCAATCGATGTTCTTGTCTAGAGCTAGCGAACCAGCCCGCAGGGGGGAAGCTAACGAGCCGGCCTGCCAGTCAGCTCACAGAGCCCTCAGACACACAGACCACAGCAGAGTCCAGCAACAACAGCAAAGTAAAGACCCACAGCTGTAAGATAGTTTTAACGTACGTATCGCTGTTATTCTGTCATTACATTCTAAGTAATTTTGTAAGGTTTTAACTTAAATCAAGAGATATCTGGATGATGTACAGAAAAATGGTGATGTACAGAAAAAATAAACAAATAGTACGAAAGGGGACGTTTCTTTATCATCATCATCATTAATTATTATTATATTAAACATTACATTGTTAGTGTACAATAAAGTTGTGGTCACAGACACACACACGGAGCGGATATTAACTTTTTGCACCTGTTTAGAAATTGCTGGCCTTTTCTATCCCATTTTGACATGAGTCACCAGTAAGTTACTTGACAGTTCACATTTATAGTTTCACTTTAGCACTCCAGACCAAGGTGAAACTTGTTCTACTTTCTATTTCTATGACTGACTATTGCACAGAAAGCACTTTCTATGCTTGTTCAAATTAAGACAGTCCCCAAGCGGTTCAAACAGATCCACACCAAAGAATTTAGGCCTTGCTGTCTGTGTGTCACTCGCCTTACATAAAAAGAGCATACAAAACATTTATTTTGTCTTTTCATTTAAACACATTATTTGGTAAAGTTTCTTTCGGCTTATTCTCTTAACATACTTCTACAAGCCCTCCTAATAAATCAAGGTGGTGGTTTTGGAGCTTATCAATGAGTCATACATACCAAACATATCTGATGACATACACAAACTACCAACAATTTTTTAAGCAGCAAACTGACTTGGTCGTTTGCCCACACTTACAATCTGTGCTGGGAGCTGTTGTCCTGAGAGTTATCACTCATAGTTACATCTCCATCAGGATCATCAAGCCTAGACCGTGGTCCAGGACCTCCAAAGCCTCCTGCGTGGCTTCCCCGTTGGCGGTCTCTGCGGGACCGGTCATACGACCGACCCTTGTGAGAGCCTCTGCCCTTACGATTGCGAAACTGTGGTGCAGTTCTATCATCATGCTCTGAGAAAGGGAAGGATTCAAAAGTTAGTGGGTTCGACTTAAATATCAGCATATAGAAATCACAGTATTAGAGCCACAATGTCTTTTATTGCTTGCAGTATGATTATAGAAATTTATATAACAAAAAATACAAATCTTAAAGAAGGTTAACAAATCCTAATGTTACTTTATGCATGCGTGTCATTCAAAATGTTGAACACATTCAATTTAAAGAGGGCAGTCAAAACAGGGAACAAAACAACAGCCTACTAACCTCTGCAGTAACTGTTTTTAATGTGTTCTGTTAATAATATAACCCATTCCCTGGTAATAATAATAGAAAATTGTAATAAGTACTGGGTGAGCACTTATGTCTATAAAGTAACATATGTAGATCTCCAGGGGGCCCATGATATAATATTACCTCCTAGGACCATGAAGCCAGTGCTTCTGACCTCTCTCCTCACCATAAAGTCCCCATGTTCTGAAGAAAAACGGTACAAGTAGCACAGAACATGCAAGGTTAATGCTGTAACGTTAGCTGTTAGAGACAGGGTTTCTTACCGTAGTAATGTCCGCCATCCGCCATTTTTCTGAAGCAGTGTTAAATGAAAAGAACACAGCCCTGGCTGTAAAATAATATTTGGAGGGCCTCGTTTCTCTATTTCACGAAACACAAAGGCTAACGTTAGGCTGCGGAAGAATATCCAACATTCCAAGTCGTGCAGACGAAACACACAAAGGCAGGCCACGGCGCGACCAAGTAGCTACTCTTCAACTGGCACGTAGCTTGGCTAGCTTCTACTGCGTGTTGACGAGAAGACAACGGAAATACAACTTTACACACTTTCCCTTCCGGAGCAGGGGAATGGCGCGGGCAAATGAAAGAAAACATGTAGGAGTCCGGTCGAGGAATAAATATTAAAAACGAAACGCAACCACGCTGTAAAAGTCAGTTGAAGACTTTGCTATAGTTAGCTTTTACTTGATATCAGTGGTTAGCTACAGTTAGCATACTATGTAACCTAGTTTTACCTACCTGGAGTTCTTCGGTACCGTGAACAATTATACCAACCACGACTAGGCATAATGAGTGGATGTCTAACCACTTATTTACTGGAAAATATTTGATACATTAATGATACTTAAAAATGCCCTCAAGTTGTACAACGTATTTCTACAAAGACGCGGACATTAATACAAGAAACTGTTGTTTAAGCTATTTAGCCCCGGGCTTGACTATTGGTCACTACAGTGCTACTGAATTGTAATAGCAACACAATGTTAAGCAGAGCGTCTTAAAATCTGTGTTTCAAAGAGCAAGTTACTAGAAATATGCAGTTTCTAGGTTTATGATTCATCATACATCTATAAAAGAGTAGGTCACACCACAGTCACATTTTCTTAAGAATATAATTTAGCATTCTGGAGGAATTGCATTTTTTTGTTACTCAAAGAAGTCAAATTTAACCAGTAAGGATATTTTATACACTAATACTAAGCAAAAAATATATCTAAAAACCTACATTATAAAATAATTTTATTAGGTAAATTTCATATCCAGACCTCCAAATGATAAATAAATCTAACATTACCACTTAATGGAATAATGAAATAATCTTTGAATTTCTTCTTTTGAGTTTCTATATAAATATAATTTTATAAATACAACATCTCTCAAAAAAGTACTATGAACAGATTTGATACAGAACCCTGCACTTTGCATATTAGGCATGATACTGGCAGAGGTGGTCCTGTCAGCCCAGCATGTATGTGTTTTTGTTGTTGTTTGTTTGTTTCTTTGTGGTCATTATCTCTCCAGTTTCTGTTTAGGGAGAGATCGCTGTTTTTCTTTTCTCTGGTTTTATAAAATGTATTAAAAATACTTTTAATTTGGAATTGAGGAATTATTGAAAAATTTTTGAGACTACATTCGTTTTGGAATTCGTGTTTTTATTTTTGAATTTACATCTTTATTTGTTCTTTACATTTTGTGTCCTAATTTACTTAACATTTTTGACTCCTCAACTACTTCTGAAGTACTTGTAAAGTAACTGTACATGAGGCTTCAACAAAGCAGCTATACAAGTAAGTTAGCACTACATTGTCTTAATGAATTGCTGTTGGAAATTCTCACCTAAACTTTTCATTTAAAGAAAAATCAGCATAAAACCAGAAACAGTTGTATTGGTTTTGTGTAGTTCTGGAAAAAATAGGTTGCTGGTGTTTCCCAAGTCTACTAAATATTACATACATATAGAGTTTTTTTAAAATCCAATCCATTTACACATGTCTATTTGAATAACCTTTTTTTGTGTGTTCAGCTGCTCTCTTGACCAGGTGTTGGTAATCCTCCAATTACAACTGCTTAAATTTACCCATTAAAACGGTTTACACAATGCTGCTCGGGCCTGATCAGCAGCAAGTGCAGCACCCTTCCCCCCTCCTTGATGAAGCTAATTAAGCTTTATTTATTTTTAAATATTTAACATGTTTATCACCCCCACCAGACTTATCCCTGTCAATGTATAATCAAAACTGATAACTAACTTACTCAACTTCACCCCCAGCTAATGTCCAAACCGAGGCTAACGTTATACTTTGGATTTAAGGAGCAAACTTACCGTCATTCACCACACGTGCAACCACAGCCAGGTTGGGGTAGCTCCTCTGACAGAAAGTCACATGGTCCATCGAGACACACTTCACTCTCTGCCTTTAGGAAAACTGTCACAATTTACTTCCCAATTTACAGTCCCATATTATCTGTAATCTCTGTAAATTAAGAGCCAGTCAACGTGTTTTTACAACTTCACCTCAGAGATGAGCAGTAAATTGCGATTAGCTTTAGCGAGCTACCGTTATCTGTTAGCATAGCGGAGTGCCGCTGGACATAACGTTATCATGGTGGGCAGGCTAACGAACACAATCCGACAATGTCATTTATTTTACCGTAGTAATATTTCTCGAGGGGATATGGGAAGCAACTGCCTCTCCCTACTGTCTCCTGTCTCTGCTGGTGCCTGTCAGACAGTCCCGCTCATCTTTGTCCAGCACGAACCCAACATGGCGCCACCTGGTGGAGAGTTTTCAACCTTACAATAGGATGGACAAAATATTAGAAACAACTGTTTGTGTCTCCAAAATGACCGTATAGTTGAATAACCAGCTCAGAAAGGCAACTAATATTAAACATTATAAACAAAATGTGAAAAATTATGAATAAGATTGGCAACAATAAAGCATTTTACTAGTTTTAAATACATAGCTGATTGATATTTATCTAAAAGGACTGTGGCTCAGGAGGCAGAGTAGTTACTCTACTACAGTCAAGCATGGTGGTGGGAGTGTCATGGTCTGGGGCTGCATGAGTGCTGCCACCACTGGGGAGCTAAAGTTCATTGAGGGAACGATGAATGCCAACATGTACTGTGACATACTGAAGTAGAGCATGATCCCTTCCCTTCGAAGACATGATAACATACCTCCAAGACGACCGCTGCTTTGCTAAAGAAGCTGAGGGTAAAGGTGATGGACTGGCCAAGCATGTCTCCAGAACTAAACCCTACTGAGCATCTGTGGGGCATCCTCAAACGGACGGTGGAGGAGCGCAAGGTCTCCGACATCCACTAGCTCCATGATGTCGTCGTGGAGGAGTAGAAGAGGACTCCAGTGGCAAGCTCTGGTGAACTCCATGCCAAGAGGGTTAAGGCAGTGCTGGAAACTAATGGTGGCCACACAAAATATTGACATTTTGGACATTTTGACTTAGGGGTGTACTCACTTTTGTTGCCAGCGGTTTAGACATTAATGGCTGTGCGATGTGTTATTTTGAGGGGACAGCAAATTTACACAAACTGTACACTCAATACTTTACAATGTAGCAAAGTGTCATTTCTTCACTGTTGTCACATGAAAAGATATAATCAAATACTAACAAAAATGTAAGGGGTGTACTCACTTTTGTGAGATACTGTGTGTGTGTGTGTGTGTGGTTATGTGTGTATATATATACATATTTATATATATACATATTTATATATATATATGTACTCTATGGAGCCATTGAGTTCTTGTAAACATTCTTGTAGGACTCAACCTTGTAAGATTCCCAGAGAACACTGATATCTGCTAGCTTGACGCCTGAGCTACTGTCTCTACCTTATCAGTATAACCGTCAATCAGTCTCCCTAACAAGGACAGTTACATGTTAGAAATAACTAGAGCTGGAAGATCAGTGAACACTTGTGGGGTCAGTTAATGTCTCTAAGCTAGACCTGTTAAAATGCGGTTCTGTAGGTTTGAATGTTTGGCTGCACAGCATGAGTTTGAAGCCGTTAAGTCTGTATATTTAATTTGGAATTGCACATATTTCATTTGCCCCGCGACCCTGTACACAGGATAAGCGATTGAGGATGGATGGATATATTTCATTTGTTAAGTTTATGGAATTATTAGTGATGTGGACATATGAAGACTGAGCAGACAGAGGCATTCATTGTTTATTTTACTTGGAACGTTTAAGATGCGTTGCAACATGTGAGAACTTTGAACCCAACAAATAAAAAATAAAATAATGTAATAGAAAAGCAGAGAAAGTCTCTTAAATCTTAAAATCTTTGTGATAAAACACTCTCTCCACTGTTACATTACCAGTAAAACGACATCAGATTTCTGTGTACTTTAGCTAAATTGTATTCCCTCGTTTCTCTCCTCAGCCCGTGAAGACAGATTCCCCATAAATAAATCCTCCTCTTCTGTCACTTCCAGAGTATGAAAAGAGGCAACAGTTTAAAGTGTAACAGCAAACCATTTTGTCCACCTGATCCTGAATTTGAGTGTTGTTTTAAGGGGTGTCTCAATGTCATATGACACTCTTTTCTCCTCCACAGCTGTCCTCCTGCTGCCAGGAGGCCACACTGATGGCCTGGCTCAGAGAAGTGATGAGCGAGGTCAGACCGATGAGGTAGCCATCTTCTCTGCTCCCTTCGGCCCACGGGACGTTATGCTGGAGCTCGCTCGTGTCAGGCAGTTGGGTCGTCTTACCAAAGTCTATCATCCACACACTGGCCCTTCTGTGGTGGTCGTGGACAAAGAGAAGCGAGCTGCCGATCACCTGACGAGGTCAAATATATAAATGTATGTAGATTAGAAAAGATAAGAATATGAAGCAAAGATGAATTTGAGTGAGGTGAATAGAACCTGGATCAGCATGGACCTCTGGACTTAATATGGTCAATAGCTGCTATAAAAGCAGAATTTAACAAGAGGTCACTTGTCGGGATCCCAGGTCTCTGTGGTTAAACCAACCTCATGGGTTCTGAAAAACAGTGAATTTTTCAGTGCATCACTCAGGGCCAAGAGTCTGGAGTGGTATGCTTTCTGAGAAAACAGATGGGTAGAGTTGTGGTTAAAAAGCAACATATAGTTACACACATCACAGGATAAAAGATGAATGCAACAACCAGTACTGTTGTTTTGTGCACACATAGATAGTTGTCTTTAGACATGCACAGCAGGGATCACAGTACATGGATTATGTATTGGAAAGTAAATATTCTCCAATCATTTCTTCACTTCATTTGCAGGTCAGCAACTGGAGACTAAAACTGAACAAATATCGCATTTTTATTCCATTTTAGTTTTTGAGGCAGCTCAGTCTGCTTCATTAGGTTTGGTCCTCAATCAGTGTTTTAAAAGGAAGCACGGTGTAATGTAACTGGTGTTTCTGTGACAGACAGAACTGACCAGGATGTCCAGCTGACTCCTGGTGAAGAACAGCAATGCCTCCGTGACCTGAGCTAAAGTCAGAATTTTCCCAAAGTCCCGATGGACGCTGCCGTCCTCCATCTGGCTCACAGAAAAAGAAGCACAACAGCGCCGACATTTGACATTTAAAAACTTGTAGGGAATTTAAAAGTGAACATGAGTTATGCAGTGATTTTACTGGCCTTTGCTCCTACCATGATGCCCTCTATCCTGAAGCCCAGCGTGGACGTAGAACTGGTCGTATCCCTCCATTGAAGGTATCGCCACTTGGTCACTCCTTTCTGAGCGTGCTCCTCCGCTGACAGCGCCGACGGGTCTATTTTCACCATCTTCTGGTACATGTCACTGCGCAGGGTGGCCTTGGCCCGGGCTTTAGTCACTTCCTCCTCCTGGTACGTCCTGAGAAGGAAACTCTCACAATGTACGTTAAAGACATATGACTATAGGTCAAAATTAAAGTCCACATCATCGAACACTAATTTAATAGTCACAGTCACACCAGAGGTATCTGGCTCTAGAACACAAAAACAAACAGACATTCTGATTAATAATAAAGAAAACACTTTACTGAAAGTTAGCTATTTATAAGAGCTAGGTGAATTACATCCCCACTTTAGCACCATGACTGAAATTAAAGATCAGATGAAATCCATGCCATACAGTAATTTTTTATCTTTTACACTGTCAGAGGCACTCAAATGTTGAGGTGAAAAAGAGTGAGTTTAGGATGCTGAACAGAGAATCAAAATGAACACACAAATGTCAGTGGGACCACAATTATCTAAAGAATTTAAATGTAATTTATACATTTTGAGGCCTGCAGCACAAGACTAGACTGGTTGCTACTAGTGTAAACAAAAAATTGCTTCTAAACCTACCGTACTCCCATCTTGCAGTCCATGATGACTGGTCTCCGCAGGCCACTCAGCAGGTCTTCCAGGCGGATGTAGCAGTGCTCCCCCCTGGTGACCAAACCGTGGTACTGTGGGACAAAGGGTCTCAGCATGTCTCTCATCAGACAGTCCAGGCACTTTGCCTCAGTTTCATTGTACAGTTTCAAAACCTCCCCTCCCTCACTCAGCTGGAAGTTACCTGGTGAAAGCAGCAAGGAAGGGACAAGGGATCATTAGTTAACCATGTGGGCAATAAAACAAGAGAGCTGACTGTGGATATCATCTGATTTCAGGACCACCCTTCTAATTTGAGTGTATTTTACAATTTATTTGAAATCTTGTACATTTATTTGTATTCTAAAACACGCTGAATAAACTCAAAATGTATCGTGGTCAAACTAAAACATCTTAGTTCCTGAAGAAATGGCATTGTGGAGATGTAAGGTTGTAACAGTAGCAGTGATATTTACAAAAGGGACGATGTGAGCTCCATCCAGTAAGCAGTAATGTAGCGATAGAATGAATGTGTTTCTTTTTAGATCCTCTCATATTCATTTGTAGACTTTTGGATGAATTGTAACACACATGCCTTGATGTCCAGCCAGCTGGACCCAGGAGCTCTGCCGCTGCATCGACCAGTGCATCATGGTCAGATATGTTTTCCAGGAGCGGCACTGAGGCACAAAAGAAGAGCACGTTATGTTGTTGTCTTCATGCGAGGAAAACGTTAAGAAGGGAACATATATGCTGTTCCTGTCTATTGCAGTGTAAATGTCATTATCCACCATCCATTACCTATACAGCTTATTGTGTTCAGGGCTGGGAGGCTATCCCAGGATGCATTGTTTTTGGCATTGTTGTTACTGTGAGGTAACATTGCTCAGTCACTGTGCTGACCTATTATACTATTATACGTGGAATTATCCCACCTCCTTATTTTGGCTACTGTTCAGAAATAGATGGAGAGCCATTTAATGGGGTACATTAGTAAAGTAATAGTAAAAAAAAAAACCTCTTAAGTCCACTGTCCACATCAGAAACTGTTATGAGCGTCCCTGCATTTGGTATTTATAAACAGCACATACCTCGACAGTTATGATCTGTTTTGTATATACACAAAACAGCTGCCACCAGACACAGGCATGGCCACTGAAAAGCCCCAGAAAAAACAAGGAAGCTAATGTAGACCTGAGCATGCTCAGTCGAGATGCGGTGATGATTGCTGTTTGATGAAAATGTCTTAATTATTTGATATGTGCAGGTGTTTTTATTCTGTCCTTCTGTCCACAGACTACTTGTCAGTGACAATACAAAATGACTACACTGAGAAAATCTACTTCCTATACTGCTCCCTTCTGCTCTCATATCTGTAGCAGCAGCAGCCAGGCATGCAAACACCATTCAAATCTGACCTTGTCAAAGTCCTCTTTCAAGCCCATGCAAATCACCAGGATCACAGGTGCCAAGAACATTTGAGAAAAATAGTTTTAAGTCTCTGGCATGATAATACAAAGCAGCCAGACGTACAGGTTTGACGCCAATGCATAGATTGAAAAAATGAAAATTTAGTTTTAAACTAAATCCATTCTGTGTTTCTCCCGGTCACTCTCACCTTCCTGAATGTCTGCCTTTTTGAGATAGCATCCTCTCCTTCGCTGAAGACCTCATCGCTCTCTGCTGAGGAGAGGCTGATGGAGGAGCAGGAGGAGTTGGAGGACGAGGACTGCAGAAGCTTGGAGAGGATTGGATGTGGGGAGGCCCTCTGAGGTGTCGTGGAGCCCCCTCTCATTCCCAGCAGCACATCTGCCTCTTCATCCTTCCCCTCATTCTGTCCCTCTGTTTCTGAGACAGGAGTTTCCTTCCTCTCTTGATCCTCCTCTTCTTTTCTCTCTATCTCAGTACTGGAGTTTATACCTCTACAGTGTTTCCGCTCGCTGTTAGTACATCCTTCCCTTCCCTTATCAGCATGGTCCCTCTCTTTTTCAATCCCTTCCACTGTTCTTTTCCCGCTCCACCTTACACTCTCCCATCTATCTGGATCAACTTCATAGCTCCCCCATACCCTCTCTTTCCTCCTCATCCTCCATTTTGCCTTCACATCATCCCTTGCACATCTTGCATTCAACTCAAAGTCCTCTTTTTTTTCCTTTCCTTGAACTAACTCACTCCCGTCTTCCCACATCATATCATCTTGTCTGAGAGAGTGTTGGTGAGTAATGCTTGACTCTGAATTGAGCTCATTGTCCTGGTCCTGGTCCTCTCCGAGTCCACCTATAGGCTGACTGTAAGGGGGGAAACTTTTTGTGGATTGGAGTTTGGGTCTGGATCTCAGTCTGAACCTCCTGCAGCTACTGGAAGGCCCTTCACTGAATGTCAGATGCTGGCAGGTCTCATCTGATAGCTTGGGAGAAAAGTCTTTATCCAAAGTTTGCTTATTCTCTATCTCCATCTTCATTCCCTCCATGTGGTTGTCATCCGTCACGTCCATCTTTTTGTCGAGTGTGCAGCGTGGATGGTGAATCTCCTCCATGGGCCCACCATGAGCTTCTACAAAACAGGGGCATTTTGCATGTATTTGAGGATATGCATTTATAAGTCTAAACACCACTCTAACATGCCCTCAGCAGTTTTTCTAAGCTTTCTTAAAATGACACAAATGGAAATACAAAACTACAAATGATCATATGTGATGATAAACTTACCTTGCCGGTGTCTTCTACCTGTTTTCTGTGTTAGAAAGCTCTGTGCCTGGCAGTGAGTTACGTCCCTCTCCCGTTCTCCCTGCTACTGCCATATTTTGCATGCAGTGACGTTTTTAAGTTTCCAAAGCTTTATCTAGTTAGCAGTGCCACAGGCCAAGAGTGACATCCAGGAATGACACTGTGTTACATAACAGGGCGGAAATAGAGTAACGTGTCCTCCCACCAAATATGAGTGTGTACTTTGTGGGTTAACTGTTTTAGGGCAGCATTTTCTGACTGCAAGAAAGATTAAACAAGTAGTCTGATGAACCATTTTAAAAGGTTTTATTGGAGCAGGTAAACAGAGTGTATGTTAGAGTGGATATGCAGCCAAGTAATATACATTTTGGCTTAAAACTCAATCAATTTAAGATATTTTGTGCAGTATAAATGGGTGCACAGGTTGCCTCAAATGCTTTAATTATAATATTAGACTTTTCTCAATTAACAAACAGTTTAACAGATAGGTAAAGTAACATACAACTGGCATAGTAGTTATAATTTGCAAAAGAAACAGTTTCACAGTCTTACATTTCAAAGCTGAAAGAAGAGAGGTCAGTGTTTAGCATTTTAATATATATTTGTGCATGTTCTTGCCCCAAAGTGTTAAGTGTTATAAAATATTACAGAGAAGAAAAGAGTGACTTTAAAATAAATGTCCATGTGTACAGATATAAACCATGAAATTTAAATACTTATTAAATTGGTCATTTTTTACATGTTAATTCCAAAAGTTTTTATTTCGCAATACTAATTTCCTCCGTTGAGTGTTTCATTTCATAATACAAGTTTTCATCACAAAGTTCTTGTCTCTCAATCGAGACTGAGACAGTTTGGCTCCGCACTCATTTAGACTGGAACAAGAGTCAGTCACGTAAGTGGCTCTGCTCTGTTTGACAAAAAAAGAAGGGAAATTATGAAATAAAATGGACATTGCATTGTGAAACAGAACTTGAGAAAATTTGTTCTTGAATTCAAAAAACAGTGTGAAAAGAAGCAGGATGAAAACAGTTCATGATAATTACCTGTTTAACAAATGTATTATTATTTCAGAATTTCACAGTTAAGTTACATATTTTGTTTTGAAAATGTATTAATATTTATTTCATAATTTTGTATATATTTAAGTGATAAAAGTAATGAAAGTGATAAAGGCACTGATAATGACAGATTCAGATGTGTCAGTCCCATAAATCACAGGGTCTTTTACATTAGAGCTGAAACACCAGTGTGAGACACAGAGGACATAATGTCAGAGCAAAAAGAGCCACAGCTCAAACAGAGCGGCTCAGATCATCACACAGGATATTTGTGGGGGTGTATGAGTGCTTTCTGAGTTATTTTCAACCACACATCTCTTTTAAATCTTCATCTTTGCTGTCAAGCTGGCTCTCTATACACTTTTTCACTCTCCTTTGCTAACGGCCCCAGGCTGCCTCTGTTTCATTTATTTCACTCTGACCATGTCTGTTCTGTCACCAGAGCGGAAATGGAGCATCCCCTGGCTTGGATCTGTGGGGGCTGTCTGGAGAGGACCCAACAGCTCTGCAGGACCTGTCAAGGAATGTATTGTTGTAGTCAGTACTAAGTGACTGATGCAAATACCTTGAATAATGCTGAAATTGTCTGTGCCTGTGTTTTTGTACCAGCAGCAGCATCTTTTTCGTCCTCTTGCTGCTTGTTGCTCGTGTCCTTTTCCCTGTCTGACAGCACTCCATCTTCTCTGAGCTGTAAACAACAAGGAAAACAAGCACTCTGAGCTTGCTGAGTGCAGCTAAAACACACGAGAGGCATCTGGTCATAATTCACACTCACTAAAACACAGCTGCAGCTAAAGTTAAAGTTCAGTGTTGTCTGTGGTAATGGGCCTCTCATCTCACCTGCTCTGGTTCTAAGTTCACTCCCACCAGCAACCTCAAGTAGCTGAGGATGAAGACGAGACTCAGGAAGATGAAGTTACTGGACACGCCTACCAAGGCCGATAGGATGGGGAAGTTAAACATAAAGTGTCTGACAAAGACAAAAAAAACATTTTATCATTAAAGCATTACAGTAATTGTGATCTGATTAGATGTTAAAATGTTATCCTAAGTACTCAGATCCTTTACTTAAGTAAAGTAATTCCACACTGAAAATACTCCATTACAAGTAAAATGGTCCCTGTCAGTGTTTTATTATTACATCTGATGTTTCTGGATTATTAGTACTGCTGCATTAATGTGTATGTTGCATTTTACTGTGGATGTTCAAGCTATTTTTATGTACTTTATGTAGGGTAGTTTAACCCATAGCAATGCATTATATTCTATAAAATCATCAAACGTGTGTAGCATTGCTGTTTTCAGCTTTGTGTCGATGTATTTTCAAGATATTCCTAGGGGACCTTTTATATTGTTTATTTAGCTGAAGGAGAATTTTCTCAACCTGGGGATACCTGACAGAAAGGGTATGAACAAGTTTAATCTGAAAAGTAACTATTAGCTAAAGTTGTCAGACAAATGTAGAGGATAAAAATTACAATGTTTGCCCCTGAGATGTAGTGAAGTAGAAGTGGGAAGTTGTATTAAATTAAAATGTACCTTGAATTTGTACTTAAGTACAGTACTTGAGTAAATACATGTTACATTACTTAGTCACATTCCACAATTTGGTTACAATCACTGAATTCTGGTCTAATTAGGCTGCTGGGTCTTCTTCCTCTCTATAAGAGCTTGTATAAGGACTGTCACCAAAATGTGGTGTTTAATGAGATTACTAATATTCTGTATATAGTACTAGGTACAAACATCTCAACATGTTATATTTCATGAATTTGGACAATTGTCTAAATCTAATGCAGCCTCACCTTGTGATTTAGGTTTAATTTTTATTACTTTCTTTTCTGTAATGTTTGATCATCAGATATACTGCATGTTACTGTCAGATCGAATCAACAGCATGGTGTGCACATCTTACCGTATACCAGTGAAGTGAGCATGAATGTAGAGCTGAGATGAGTAAATCTGCACCTTTTTGGACAGGATCTCAATGACAGCAGTGGACGAGGGGGCATACTGTGCATGAAGAAAAAAATAGTAGGTAGACATCAACAAAAAAATCTTTGCTTGCTATTGAAGCACACTACACATAACACCACTTCCAAAACACAGTGCAGGACTCACGGGGTCTTCTGTGTAGTCTGAGAAGAGCTCCACCTCCAGGACTTGTTTCTGCTCGGCGGCTCCACTCAGAAAGGCCGGGAGGAGCAGTAGAGTTCTCAGGGACCCCAGCAGGTCTGAATGGTATCGCAGCATGCTCTGACCAAAGCAGGACAAAACACAGTCACACCCAGGGGCAACGTTATACACAGTCTCCTGGGGATTCATTAATCTGCTGTTTCGTTACAAATAGATAATGCCACATACCCTGTGATGCACTGAATATTTAGAAAAGGATAATGTTGTCACAGATGCAAACGTTTCACCTTCGGTCAATGATTGGGTTGTTTAATGAACACTAACAAAAGCTGATCTCAGTGGACTCTACTCGCTCTACTACCTACACTGACAAAACAACAAAGAGAAACCCCTGTCCAATGTTATGAAGTGCAATATAATAGTTCTGCAAAGTTCAGTTTTTGTTTCAACTAAAACTCCAATTTTTTGTTTTGACTCAGCTCAAGAGTGAGCTTTGAGGCTGTACTTTGTGGCAGGGGATTTGACTGAAAGGTGTTTCATATTTTTATGAGGCTGATTAACATACATGGAGGTACAAGAATACTCAAGACAAACTCTTATAAGGTACTACAGTACAGAAACACCACAAAACAGACTTAATGTAATGTCAGGCCTCAAAAGAAGTACCGGTATTTATTAGAGTACTGTTGCATTACAATGTACGTATTTTACTTTCTGATCACACAGTGTTTAACAAAATCAATTGAAGTCAATGATGGCATCCCTTCCATAACTAAATTAACTGCAAGATTTTCACCTCCACTGTGTATTTGCATCCATCATTAGTTCACATCATCTGAGCACTGAGATCACCATTGTGTTGCAGTGCAGGTTTTGCAGCAAGCATGAGCAGCCCTAATCTGGCTCTGACCAGGTTGTGTGATTAGATTAGGTAAAGGTTATTGTGCGTCAGTGCTATACTCACAAAGCGAGAGCTGGAGGCGGACAGCAGTTGTCCTGCCTGAGAAACACACAGCAATGCAACAGTGAATCAGTGGAGTTTGCAGGAACTAATACTGAAGCGCTGTTTGATTGTAGGTACATATGTGGCCACCTAGGAGTTGTACAAATCTTACAGAGCGGGCAGAGGAGGCAACTTGCCCTCCTTCCTGAGAGAAACAACCTATCTTGACCATGAACATCCCCAGCTCCTGATTGGCCTGAGATTCAGGCATCTCCAGCTGCAGGGACATCCGATATGTCTGGCCAAATGTCAGCACCTAAATGTACGTTTTAAAAAGATTAACATAATTCTTATTTGAAAAGATGAATATTTAATATACAGACAAAGAGAGATGGATAGAGTAGATGACAAAATTGAACTATACACACACAAGTTCATACATACATGCTTCTTGTTCCTCATCAGAGATATGTTGGCCACTGGATAAGAGCACAATAAAGAGGCAGGAGATTCACAGTCTGTCCTGTAGGCAAAAATGTGAATGACTGAGTGAGAGTGAAAGCAAGAAAGAAGAAATCGAACACACACACACACACACACACACACACACACACACACACACACACACACACACAGTAACAACAGTCTGTGTTTTCCAGATGAAACTGGACAGGACTTCACATACACACCTGTAATAATAGTGCACAGGTGTGGAAAAAGCCGCCTTGGGCATGAAAGAGTAGTAGAAGCTTCCGTATAAAAAGGTAGCGATACTGAGGAGCAGGAGGACAACGGAAAACACAATAAAGCCCTGTATAACTCTCTGACGGGTATGTGAAATCGCCACAACGACGGCATCCTGGAGCTTCAGTAGCATCTGGCCAATGACTACCGACGGTTCCCCATCATCTCCTGGATGCAAATGACTTTCTTGATCCATGAAATCTAAACATCAACAAACAATGAAGTAAATGGAACTTTTTGGAAAAAGCAGCTCAAAAAAACAACTTGGTAAAAGATAAAGATAAATGCAACCACACGACAAGCATGTTTTGAAAAGCTGAGCGTAGAAGTAATTAAGAGAATCACGCTGGATCACGAAGAGTAAGGGCCACAGTCTTTGTGGCTGAAATGCATTAAATGTCATCCAAAAAATGACCTGGTTCGTGTAAACTAGATAGATCAAGCACTGTCTGTTTAACATTATACAAAACTCAGTGTGGCTGAAGATGAAGCCTAAGACACAAGCACCACTTTGATAGTACGGAGAGCTGTGAAACCACTGAGTCCAATCTGAGTCACAAGCAGAGGCTTTTCATATCAGATGACTCCAAACTGTGTCAACTGCCAAACTGCCACTCTGACTGTCTTACATGCATCTAGAAACAAAGAAGCTACTAAGAAATGTGTAGGCCTATCACTTTTCTTTGACACAACATCCATTGTGTGATCATGTTGGTGGATTAATGGTATTTATCACTATTCCTCAGAGGATATCAAGTTAAGGTGTTCATTTTCTCATTTCATGTGGAAAGTTGTCTTTGGCTAAGCAAACAAAAGAAACAACAACATGGGAAACAAACAGTTAACACACACACATAGACAAGGACACATATTAAAAACAGTCTTAAGTCTCACCAGTCACTTTGTACAGTTCAGAATATTGATGGCATTCAGGATGAAGGACTTCTTAAATACATTTTTTGTTGCCAGAGGGACTCTATAGCGCCTCCTGAAGCTCGAAGGCTCAAACTGGCTGAAGACAGGATGGGAGCTATCTGCCAGCTATCTTCCTTCTCCTTTCTTTTAAAATCTGAGCCAAGGCCAAGTCGTAACTTGCTGTTGTGCAAGTTGCGACTTGCGCAATTTAAATGAACACATAACATGTAGATTTTCAGATCAAGAGTTATACTGGCTAGGATTTTAATGTGGGGATACTAAAGGATTTTTATCTCAAGATCCAAATCAAAAAAACAGTCCAATTTAAAAAGTCCATGTGGTATCTAACAGCAACATGCCTGCAACAGTACTCTGTCTGGCTATAAAAAAAAACCTCACCTCTGTTGGCCAACTACGAGCTGTTAAGAAAGCACTTCGCTTGACGTCTCCTTGTCCACAGCTAGACACACTGTCTTCTTACTGCACTGTTAAACCCCCCCAGTAAGTCATCCTAACCTCCTAAAAAGCTGCCATTGGACAGCGTTTAGCCCATCCCACATGAAGAGGGATGCTGCTGCCAACTGGAACAGAGTTATTAAACATGACACTGACAACAGGGCTGAGGATTGAGAACTTCAGTTTATATTTTAAAAATATTTATGTAACAGTATGTCCCATTGGAATTTTTCAGTGACACTGGTGAACAGCAAAGCTGCACTATATCGTTTATATTTAGGAGAAGAAAAACAAACAAGAGTGAAATTACAGAAAATCAAGGCTACCGCTGATGTCCCTTGTAGGAATGTAATAAGACAAATTCTTTACACTTGGCATTTAGAGAGTCTGCTAAGATCCCCTAATACCTCATGGTGTCTAAAAAGTATGTTGCTACTGCACAAGAACATTTGCACTATTTTGTAAATTAAAAACATCAAAAGGGAAAGTGCAGATATTTCTGTGACCTCGATCTGGATAAATTGATTAGAGTGTGAATGACTGGATGGAAGTGCAGATATGAATGTTTTGTAACCAATAGTGTATTAAACTTTGATATAAATATATGGCCTATATAAAAGAAACCATGCAACACAGAGACATATTTATTAAAAACCTCCCAAATAGGATATGTGCTTGATCATAAAGGAGGTGGTTAAAACACCTGCTCGCCCAAACCGGCGAGTTACACCCTTGCTCAAAAAGCCCTCACTTGACCCAACTCAAGTTGAGAACTATCGACCAGTGTCTCTTCTACCTTTTTTATCTAAAACTATTGAACGGGCAGTATTCAAACAGGTCTCAGAATTCCTCTCACGGAATGACCTCCTAGATCCATACCAGTCTGGTTTTAAGAGTGCCCACTCTACTGAAACGGCTCTTCTGTCTGTAACAGAAGCCCTAAGTTCAGCTAAAGCTGCAGCCCAATCCTCGGTTCTTATCCTGCTTGACCTATCAGCTGCCTTTGACACAGTCAACCACAGGATCCTGCTATCCGCTCTCTCAGCAATGGGCATCTCGAGTAAAGCACTCCTGTGGTTCGAATCCTACTTCTCAGGGCGTTCCTACAATGTTTTGTGGCAAGGACAATTATCCTCCTCCCACTGCCTCTCCACAGGGGTGCCCCAAGGCTCAGTGTTTGGGCCCCTTCTCTTCTCAATTTACACCACCTCACTGGGGCCGATCATTCGCTCGCACGGCTTTTCTTACCACTGCTACGCAGACGACACGCAACTCTACCTATCCTTCCCGCCAGGCGATCCCACTGTCTCGGCGCGGATCACGGACTGTCTATCGGACATATCTGCATGGATGAAGGCTTGCCACCTTCAACTAAACCTCTCTAAGACTGAACTCTTGGTCATTCCAGCCAAGCAATCTATCCACCATAACATCAAACTACAAACTGACTCCGCAACCATCACTCCAACCAAGGTGGTGAGAAACTTGGGTGTCATGATTGATGACCAGCTGTCCTTTTCAGACCAGGTTGCTGCTGTCTCTCGTTCATGCCGCTTTGCTCTACACAACATAAGGAAAATCAGGCCCTACCTCACTCAATACGCCACCCAGCTTCTGGTACAGGCCATGGTTATCTCTCGCATTGACTATTGCAATGCCCTCCTAGCAGGTCTTCCAGCTTGTGCGGTGAAACCTTTACAAATGGTTCAGAACGCAGCAGCGCGTCTGGTTTTTGATCAGCCCAAAAGTACTCATGTCACTCCATTACTCAGTGACCTCCACTGGCTCCCCGTGGCCTCCAGAATCAAATTCAAGTCACTAATGCTTGCATACAGAGTGACTACTGGGTCTGCACCCATCTACCTAAACTACATAATACAAACTTACGTTCCTGCTCGGCCGCTACGATCCTCCAACGAACGCCGCCTGGCTCTGCCATCCCTTCACACAAAGCAATCCCAGTCCAAGCTATTCTCATCTGTGACACCACGATGGTGGAACGAGCTACCACACGCCATCAGAGCAGGGGCGTCCCTCTCTAACTTCAAGAAGCTCTTGAAAACTCATCTCTTCTGAGAACACTTCCTCTTATAACACCTCTAACTCCTAACCTCTAACATGCACTTCCTGTGCTCTTCTTCTTCTATCCCCTACAATGATCTCGTATAGATTGCACTTTTTGTTTTGATTGCACTTATTGTTAACTCTTACTTCCTACCCTAGGTATCTACCCCATTGATGTGATATGTACTGTGAGCTCTTACTAGTATTTATTGCTGCTCTTACTAGTATGTTTTGTCAGTTGTAGATCTGTAATTGATGCTCTGTTGATGCTTGTATGTTGTTCCTCAAATGTAAGTCGCTTTGGATAAAAGCGTCTGCCAAATGAGTAAATGTAAATGTAATGTAAACACACCTCAGTATTGATGGCACTCCAAAACGATAGTATTAGGAAGGAGAAAGAAAACATTGAACAAATTTTTAAGGCAATTACCCTATTCACCTGCAGTGTCTCGCTTTACGAAAGGCAGAAAACAGAAAAGCAAAGAGGAGTTAAGATGAAAATAATGTTTTACCAACAGGGGGAGGAATCCTCTAGCTGAACAGAATAAACCCGCCAAAATATCTTTCAGCGTAGAAGAAGACGCTTTCGTCCAATCACACACATCGACTGGCGCAAACCGGAAAAGGTCCAATTTTACGTTTAATATCACATTGGCGTTTGGAAAACTGCTGAAAGGTAATGTTGGGGTTATTTTGCTCAAATGACCATTGAAGTCATTTGGTAACATGTTTAATAATGTTTAATAGGAACTGAGAAAACACGCTAATATGATTAATAGTCTTTAATAGGGGAAAACTGCTGTTTAATTTGGCCAAAGTCTGTCCTGGTTGTTCCCAAACCTCGCCATGAAAAATGGTTATTAAACAATAGACAACTTCTGATACAAATATTTATTCCAAAAGAACCATGTCAGAGAAGCCTCCTGAAAATTTTACTCATTGTAATATCAATAATTTTATATATAGCACACGTAAAACAACCAAGGTTGACCAAGGTGCTTTACAGGTTAAAAATACAACAATAAAACAGTAACAAAGAACAGCATTACAACATTAATTAGAATATACAGTATATGAATGATATTAAAATCGCCAAGGATGATAACTGTCTTGAGAATGATAATCACTATGCTTGTACTGTAATATGAGTAATAGAGCTGCAACGATTAGTCGATTAATCGACTAAGTTGTTGTCAACTATTACATTAATCACAAACTGATACTGAAATTGAGACCTTTTTAAAAGAAGAAATGTCAAAATTCTTAAATGTGAATATTTTCTGGTTTCTTTACTCCTCTATGACAGTAAACTGAATATATTTGGGTTGTGGACAAAACAAGGAATTTGAGTGACGCCATCTTGGACTTTGGGAAACAATGATTGACATTTTGGACCATTTTCAGACATTTTATAGACACAACAACTAATTGTTTTAATAATGAAAATGATCGACAGATTAATTGATGATGAAATTAATTGTTAGTTACAGCCCTTATCAGTAAATAAGATTGCATCAACAGACAGTTAACTAACTAACCTGTAGTGACACATGCCGTTAATAAATTATCATAGTTCTGCAAAATGGTAAAAGAAACGTCTCAAATCACAGCTGTGATGTTGCTGAGGCTGAACTCACTATTTGTTAATAGACATGGTGAAAATAGAATATTTATTAGAGTGCAATTTGATGTGATTGTGTGTTTTGCCCTCTTCTGTCTTCTGGATGCAGGATGTCCTGTAACACTAGTGTAATTCGTGTTCAAGTGCCATCTGTGGACCAGACACAGCGAGTCCCAGTCCACCTACTGCCCTGTGAGATTGAACACAATGGTCCGGCTCAGGTCTCACAATACCTAGCTGCTACCGTGAAAGACTGCAAACAAGGTGCACTCAGAGCATGTTTTATATTATATATAAACTGTCAACATGACTGACTTCCTTTTTATACTGGTATTGAGCCATTGTACGCTGCTTTATCTTGTAACCACTGGTCCCAATATGAGACAGTTGGCTCCAAGGTAAATGGGGACAAAGTCAGAATGAGTGTTTCTTCAACCATGATAAGAGAATGGATAAGAATGATTTGATGATAAATGCTTTTAACATATATGTAGCTATTTACATCAAATAGATTTTAAAAGGTGTATTTGATGTTTTAACCCACTGTATTTTTTTGTGGGTGGGAAAACTGTCTCTGACAACAATCCTCTGTGCATTTCCCCATTACAGAGAAGACAGTGTCGTTCAGAGGGCGTGGGTTGAAGGGACAGGAGCTCCGCTGTCCACAGGGCTACACTGGCTTGGTGTTAAAAGAGATCAACAAGACTGGCTCTGACCAAGAGGTAAACGTCACTGATGTCATATTTAACATCACAAAAACTATCCCCACAGCAGACATGCAGACATGCAGGTGTGTGGATGAGGATGTTGCTGCCCATGTCTAATTGATGATTAATCATGTGTCCAGGATAGGACAGTGAGGGTATCCTCTGTGTTTGACAAGCTGACCTACTGGAACCTAGAGACGCCTCCGAACTCTGATGATACAGTTGTGATGGCGATGGATTGGCCAGAGTTGGCTGAAGCTGTGAGTTCTTTTATCAGGCCAGACAATATCTCAGAGCCTAAAAAAATAATATTTATAAGCTAATGAGAAGTCTCGAGAAATCCTTGATCCTACATTTAGACTGGGTAAGTTTTGTTTTGTTAGTATGTCATTTTTATTGAGAAGCACGTGAGGTACATGTCGGTACACTGATTTTTGTTGTGAGGGGATAATCAAAGTCTAGTATAGCAGACAGATTTACTAACAGTAATTTTATCAGAAGATTTGTTTCTGTCATGTAAGTGCTGTTAAAATTAAATGTGCAGCATAAAACCTTTTTTTATGATTCAGCTTGTCTTTCAGTCACAACCATAGACTGTATAAAACAACTAGTGTCCACAGGCTAATAATCTGCATGACTAGCAGATATAATACAGTTCAATTAAAAATGGATTTCTGGGTTCCAAATTTGCTGTTGTAACAGTTTTGAGGACAGGACAAGGACAGAGGCAGGAGGTGGACACTGATATTTTGTCTCTTCACAGATCCACGGGCCAGTAGAAGACTGAAGAGAGAGACAAAACTACCTGCTAAGAGGTTGCAGGTTGGTGTCACCTCAGCATGTTAGGAACTAAATGTACAGTTTCCTGGTTGCTTACTGGCTACAGTCAAGAAATGCTAACCAGTTCAATGCTACTGTAAGCAAGTAACAAACGTAATGTTTATATTTTTGTACATTTTCTTTTGTAGTTAAAAAAATAAAAATAAAAGATAATGTTGACTGACCAACCTGTTCACTGTGTGATTCACTGAAAGATTATAATATTTTAAATATGTCACACTAGAGATGTAGGAGCAACTTGGGGGGGGGGGGACCATAGGGGGGGCGCTAAAAAGCTAGGTGGGTTTGTTTTATTTTATTTTAAATAAAGCACTTACATGCTCATTTCTAATGACTTTTGAATACAGATTGTACTTATTAGTGTGGTTGAAAGAGGGTATGTGCAGTGACATAAGATGGAGAATTGACTGAGGAGGGGATATTATGAAGACTGGGGTTGTAACTTCAGCGCACATGGTGAAGTTGGCCCATGAAGACATCTGTCAATATTAAGTCATAGCGTCACCTACTGGCAACAGGAAATGACAGATCCTCTCCTTTTCGATGTAGTCCACCTAGCAGGTTGACCAGGGCTGCGTTCGAAAAGTCTTTTTTGCTTAGGAAGGTTCCTAACTGAGTGAAGTGAACCGGAAGTATTTCAGTGGCAGCCATGATAAGAGCTGGTCGAATTCTCTAAAAGCTAAGGAAAGGAGCCTCAATGCTTCCTTTCATATCTCCTTTAGCATAGGGTACACCGGACCGTCCTTTACGAAAGGAAAGGAGAGAATGCCGTCCCACAATTCTTTGCGGCGGCAACATTTAAAGCGACGCACGTTCTCAATCTCAAACGATAAAATCCATTGACCACATTTAGCAAGATCCTTGCAATACAGACACTCATAATGATACTTTAATAAAACCCACAATTACCTTTCTTTTGGTTTGTTTTCTTTTGGCTTTTTATAATCTAATACTGTTTCAACACCGTTTTATGTTTCAGGTTGTTGAAATAAGCCATAAAGTGTTTTCTACAATAAAAAAATAAAATAAACCAACCATGACGGATAAAGGAGGTTGAACACCATGTAAGTTACCATAGGCTATTAAGCCTTTTCTCTCTTATGCCATAACTTGCTAATATGCATATATCTTAAACTGTCAACAATAACTTGAACAATATCAAGCTGGATAACCTCTACAGTAGGCGTTTCCCACACACTGATTTATTTGTGGCGCCCTGCCACAATATCAAGGCTGATTTTCGATTGATTTTGTTACTATTTAAAATGGGTAAAGTCGTAGGCTATTTGATCACAGAGCTCCGCGCAGCGCATATATTCTCTCAGCATCTCGCTCCGTCTCTCTCTCTCGGCACAGTTATGCTGTCATTCTGTGGGAAACACTGTATTTACATACAATTGGGATTCATGTTGATAAATACGCCAATGGGTGGGCAGGAGGGTGAGTGTGAGCAAGCATTCTCAATGTGACAACCCTGCCATTATTTAGTTAATGGTAGGCTACCTTATCTGCCATTTTGCTATCTTGGTTATTAAGTAATATATTCCACCGTGTTGTCCACCTTTAGATGGCCTGCATTACAACAACACAGGGCGCAGAGCCAAAGATGCGCTTTTTGTAGTCCATCTTCAGAACATTGTAGTTTCATCACGGCGGGTCATGTCAGTAAAATCCGCCATCGCATAATTACGTCGCTTAGAAAAGAGCAGTCGGTCAAGGAAAGGTGGTTAGGAAAGGAGATTTTTTTGACTTTTCGGATGCAGCCCAGATCAACCCCAAATTTAGGCAGCAAAGCCTTAAGACCTTGATGATGCTAGTGTAAAGCTCATTCATTGAATGCCATCCAAACACCATTGATGATGATTATTCGGCATGAAACAGGATGTTGTTGTAACTTGAGTGTGCATTAATCAATCTGTCTCAAAATTTCGAAGTTTGACAAGAGTCCTGGCCTACATGACAATTAGGAGTCCCAGTCATTGTGTTACCTACTGGCAACAGTAAGTAAGCCTTGTGATTTCTTGATTTACATGGAATTTTCATGGTGTGGTTAACACCTGATGTGCTGGAACATAATGTGTAGTGGGTGACCTCTAGTGTCACATGGTGGACACAGGAAGTGACATTTAATATCTTTGTGCAGGGTCCAAAACGAAAATCTTTAATTTAGAATTGCGTTGACCGATCTCCAGTAACGGCGCAGCTTCGGCAGCACATCTGGGTGTGCTGCCGAAGGTGTGATGGCCTGCTCATTGCAGCTTTAATCACACATTGTTTTTACTCAACAGTGTTTATTCACAAGGTAACATTTGCATACAGGCTACCATGAAACCCTCTAAAAGATCACTGACTCAACTCTTCCTCAAGAGTATCCAGTGCAAAAGTTGTGGGTTTGTGCCAATACTAATCAGTGTTAATTACACAAAAACTGTAATTCCAAAACATGTCAAAAAATGGTGCAGAAGTCATTCAGGCACATTTATAGTTGAAATTTAAACATTTAAAGAGGCAGAAATACTCCTTGTGTCAAAGTGTGCTCATACTGTATATTCTGTAATACCACAGGAGAAACACTACTGAGGGAAAGGTCACATGGGCAATTAGCTAAACCAAACACATCAAGTTATTTATGCCTCCCTCACTTCCACTGCTATCCTACCAGGAGATGTAGGCTGGAAATTGAACAATTGCACCTGTTTTCTAAACCTAACTAGTTTTAATTGACCCTGATGGAGAATGCCAAGCAAAGTTTGAAATATGTGGCAAGATCAGTTAAGACAATAAGGAATTACAGTAGACTACTGTATATAATCCTGGACAGCCACCGGGATGCATACATTTGTTGAAATGTAAATACGACTGGAGAAGAAAATTGTGGGGCAGTAATCTTTATTGTAAGATTGTCCTATCATTTAGAGAATTCAATCAGTTGTATGGCTGCCACGTCATTATTTCTGGGTCATTAGGAACCTCCCTAATCAAAGACTTCTTACTGCACTGCTAAAAGGCAAATTTAAGACTTTCTGTAATATACTAAAGTTACAGGAAAAAGTATGCGAACCCTTTGGAATTACCTGGATTTGTCATAAAATGTGATCTGATTTTCATCTAAGTCACAACAATAGACATACACTGTCTGCTTAAACTAACTCCACACAAAGAATGTTGTTGTTTTCATGTTTTTATTCAACACACTGAGTAAAGAGTCACAGTGCAGGGTGGAAAATGTATGTGAACCCCTAGGCTAATGACTTCTCCAAAAGCTAAAAGAGTCAGAAGTCAGCTAACCTGAAGTCCAATCAATGAGACAAGAATGTTCAATGAGGTTAAGAAGGATCCTAGAGTCAGCTGAAGACTCACGGAAATCTCTGGAACATGCCAACATCTCTGTTAACGGCTCTACAATACATTAAAAACTAAACAAGAATGGAGTTCGTGGGAGGGCACCACAGAGGAAGTCACTGCTGTCCACAGTTGTTCCACAGCACTACTGCAAAATATTCTGTGGATAGATGAAACCAAAGTTGAGTTGTTTGGAAGGAACACAACCCTATGTGTGGAAGAAAAAGGCACAGCACACCAACATCAAAACCTCATCCCAACTGGGAGCTATGGTGGAGGGGGCATCATGATTTGGGGCTGCTTTGCTGCCTCAGGGCCTGGAAGGGCTCCACAAATCCCAAGAATATTGCTGAACTGAAACAGATTTGTAAAGAGGAATGGTCCAAAATTCCTCCTGACCGTTTTTCAGGTCTGATCTGCAACTACAGGAAACGTTTGGTTGAGGTTATTGCTGCAAAGAGTGTCAACTAGTTATTAAATCCAAAGTTTTTCCACCCTGCACTGTGACTGTTTCCACGGTGTGTTCAATAAAAACATGGAAAGATATAATTGTTTGTGTGGAGTTGATTTAAGCAGACTCTTTGTCTATTGTTGTGATTTAGATGAAATTCACTTTTTATGACCAATTTGTGCAGAAATCCAGGTAATTCCAAGGGGTTCACATACTTTTTCCTGCGACTGTATATCCATCTGCTACTGACATGGCTTCATCAAGACTGATGCAAGGAAAAACTTCAATTACTAGTTATAGAATGGCACTATTTGATTCAAATTTTAGAATTTGTGCAAAAGTAAAAAGCTCAGACAGCTTCATCCTGTAAAAAAACAACTTGACAGTACAGTGCTACTACAGTTACAACCAGTCCAACTTTCACACACTGAAAAGGCAGTCGTACATATTTCATGTAACTGATCAAACAACAGGTTTCTCTTATTTGTGTTTTTAGTTCATATAGCAAACACTAGGTCTACGATGTCACACAATTGAGACATTTTCAAACATCTCCTGAATCTTCTTACAACAATTACATTTTTGATCATTTTTATATCCATACAAATGTATGAATAATGATATTAAAAAAATTATTTATAAAAATGACAAACCTAAACTGTAAAATGCCTCTTAAATTTTACAAATACGTAGAACTAGCATATAATCAGTTTTAAATTTAAACTTGATTAAATCAGTCTTAGGGTTATATGGAGACAATGTTCAAACATGAAGTTGGATGAGTGAGGGCTGATATTACGCTGGTGTTTACTCTGTGTGTGTGTGTGTGTGTGTGTGTGTGTGAATGAGTTATTGTATTTCTGTACTTATGGGGATCAAATGTCCTCAGTAGAATAGGAAGCCAGGGTGTCTGCAGGGTGTAAGCAAATATAAAAATATTAAGACAATATTTGGATAAATTGAGCAGGATGATTTGAGTCGAGAGGTGGCACAACTAGTGGCAATTGTGCCATTGTTTTTTCAAATAGGGGCCAACAGAGAAACTGCTTTTTCAGAGGGCCTCACATACAGTGCTTTTGATCATTTGATGAATTTTTAAAAATCTAGTATATGCCTAAGTGTCATAGTAAGTATGTAGTATAATCGTATAAAGTAGGAATGTAAGTAAAGTGCAACTATCAAGGTAAGATTTAGGTTGGTTTTAGTTATATTTAATTCTGAAGAATATATTTGAATAAATCAAATCTGATTTAATCTAAAAAAAAAACAAACTGGAATGAAGACCATAACATACTCCTGATTTTTATAGCTTCAAATTTAAAAAAATGTAAGACTTTAAAAGACCTGCATATACCATGGAAATGTTTCCAAGTGAGGACATTATGTCAGTCCTCACTACTTAAAGGAACCTTGGTCTTAGAGCTTCAAGGATTAGTTGATTAATCAATTAGTTGATCTACATAAGATTAATCATTTCAATTTCTAAGGAAAAATGCAAAACTTCTCAAATATGATATATTAAATATTTAAATACTATTAACAATATTTTCTAGTTCCTTTAGTCTTTTTTGACAATAAACTGAGTAATAGTTTGTAGTTTAGCTGTTTGTCAGACAAAACAGAATATTTGACGTTGTCACCTTGAGCTTTGAGAAATTGTGACTTGTGTGATTATCTTCAAAATTTTCTGACATTATATAGACCAAAAAAAAAAAAAATTCATCCAGAAAATAATCAACAGATGAATTTATAATGGAAGAGTTAGGATATTCGGTCTAAGTGTGTACGTGTATAGGTACAGAAATACAATAGTGTGATTGTTTGTGTGTTAGCTAAGAGGTGGAGGTGGTGGAGGTGGTTGTGGTGGCTGTGGTTGCAGGGAGGGCTCCATGTCTGCCTTGCTGCGTTTGGCTGGCAGTGTGTGGTCATGAGCTTTACGAATGTGTCGGTACAGGTCGCCCGATTGTGTGTAGCTCCGGTAGCAGTAGCGACACTCGTAAGGACGTTCCCGTGTGTGCACGATGGCGTGGCGCCTTAATGTGTATGTACATGAAAAAGTCTTTCCACAGACTCCACATGTGGGGACATCCTCCACAAAGTTCCCCATAGAGTCCTGAAAGTCCTGGAAGTAGGCAGGGGGGTCTGAATGATGCTGGGCTGTGGGTGGATGAATTAGGGAAGCGGCAAATGAAGAAGTGTCCTGGGAGGAAGGGCCGGCACCGGAAGAGGAGGAGGAGGGAGACAGAGGGAAGGAGTAGTCATTTGAATGGGAGGTCATTTGTAAGAGGCCCTGCGGGTGGGAGGAGAGAAACTGAGGGCTGTTCAGCTCCTCTTCTTGGATGTCATCTTCAAACTCATTGTCTACTCCCATTACTGGTTCTCTCTCTCTGCTTTCCTCTCTCTCCTCCTCTAGCTCTTCGTCAGATATAACAATGGCCTCTACTTTGACTTTCACATTCTCTCCATCATTGTCGTCTGTCCTCACTCTACCCATAAGAGGGTGAGACCTTTCATTTCTAGTGGCGGGTGAAGCTGCCGTATCCCCCACAGGCCCTCTAAGGGTGTCGGTCTGAGGAGCAGAGTGGAAGTCCAAGCTCTGGCGTTGGAGTGACACAGTGCTCTGGATTTGAATCTGGGGAAGCACATGCTGTGGTGGCGAGTGTGCTGGGTTTCTTTCTAAATGTGAGGTTTGGATTAACATGACCATCTGTTGTCTTCCCCTGTGGTCAGACTCTGAGGGTTTCCTAAGAGACTCGTCACGGTGCAGTCGGGGTGCGTCCTGATGAGGGCTGGGGGAGAGGCTGGCTTCTGACTGGGAAAGAGCTGACCGACCACTAGCCTGGCTCAGTGGCACCAGAGAGGAAGAAGACGAGGAGGGCTGCTGGTTACTGCTGTGGCTGGAGAAAGACACAAAGAAAGGAAGATATACTGAAATAAAGTATAGTATATATAGAGCAGAATGCACTGAAAGTCAAAGAATTAAACAAACTTACACACTGAACCTTTAAAGGACACCAGTCTAATATTCAGAGTAAAGTCTTGTTTTTGGAGTCTTCCTATTTTTACTTTTTCAACAGACACATACCTGTATGTCTCAGTGGTGCTGCAAGGGCTGCAGAGACCCTTCCCCTCTCCCTGACCTCCAGTCCTCAACCTGGCATGACCTCCCGAGGAAGGGGCAGAGGGGCCTGTGATGAGGCCCTGCACCAGCTCTCCACCTGGGGGCAGAGGAAGAGCGTCCATGCCTGGCTGCGTAGTATCAGCGAGGTCAGGACTCAGAGGAGTCTGAACTCGTGCCTCCGATGACCCCCTACAAGTCCTCTGCTCAGATTTCACACACTCCAGCTGACTCCTCTCTGCTGTTATGGATACTGATGAGAGAGGCGCTGCCATGGCGGCTGGATTCAAGCGATCTCCTGCCATGACCACCACAGGTGCAGCTCCACCATCACCCCCACCCTCACTCCCGGTCTCTATTGCCTTCCTGGCACCAGCGCTCTCTTCAGAGCGAGTGCTGTCTGCCTCAGCCAGAGGCCCTCGTTTCTGCAGTCGTCTCTTGCACACTCTGACCACCTCATTCATGTGCAGAAAGCTTGCAGCTGCCAATATGTCCTCCACTGGAGGAGACTCGCCAAGCTGCAGCACGCCTTCATAGACAAAGTCCAAAAGCAAGCCAAATGCAGCAGCCGTGACAATGTCGCTGTCGAGTGTAACAGAGCTGCTGGTGCTGTTTCCACCACTGACCCCTGGAGAGTCTGAGTAGAACATGTGGAAGAAAGGCGAGCAGGAGGCCAAAACAGCCCTGTGAGCCAGGAAACGGGATGAGCCCACCAAGACGGAGCAGTCACAGAGGAAGCCCCGCTGGCGCTGGGAACGCAGAGCTGACAGCAGCTGCTGGGAATGCTGGGGGAACTCCATCACCTGAGCAGCAGAGAAGATACAAACTAGAGAAGCGGAGCCATTATGGTAGTTCCCTAATTAGAAATATAACATTAAGTCATCTCTCTTTGGGAAATATCCATGAATGGTTAACTCATCCAAATGACAAAAGAACATCAATTTACAACTAATGGCATAAAACCATGTAGATAGTTTTGGTTGCTCATTATGCCAGTAACCATGACAATGATGGACATTTTGCCACTGAGCTATAAAAATGTTGATTTTCAAACACCACAAACCAAATTCCTTTCAACTTTATGGCAGAAGTCTCACAAGCAGAGACCTCAAACGCTGGAAATATATAAACAGAAATATCTGCATGTCTAGGAACAGTACTACAAGTGGTGGAAGAAATACTGTGGCTGCAATACCACACTCATTATGCAGAATGGCCTATTTCAAAACAATATTTATTATTGGATATTTTTAAATATGGGTGCATTAATGTGTAAGCATTACTTTAAAGATGCACTTGGTACAGGTGGGACTGTAACTACTTTATGTACTGCTGTGTATCATAACTTACTATATACTTAATTATATAACTTGTATTTTATATTTATAATTTGAATCTAGAAAGTAGTTAACTAAGTGTCAGATAATGGAGTAACTTACAACTTTTGCCACCAACATGTAACTTAGTAGAGTATAAAGTACACAAAGTATATTGCAGCATAAAATGGACATTGTATAAAAGTAAGTAACTTCTTGAGTTAATTTACTAGTTAATGTTACTTTACTTTCAACCACTGACCAGGGGTAACAGTGATAAATGTTTTGAGTGAACTAGCTAACGTTACCCCTTCAGCTAACCTATTTTGTGCTTTTCAGTTTGAACGTTAACGTCTGTAACGTAACGTTTCCATGGTGACCACTGGTAGCTTAGTCTCGGAGCTGGATCTTAAATTGTAACGCTATATACATATAAGACAGCCCAAGACAAACAGCACGGCGACCCCAATTATTCCAAATGTTGAGGTTGTCCAGCAAGAGAAACAGGCAATAAAACAGGCAGCTTCAATGCTAACATTAGTTAGCTAAGTTAGCTCAGCCTCTGTGTATTCACCGGGAGCTCCACTAACCGCAGTTTCCTTTGTTTGCATATATCGACAGGAGCTGTAAGTTACCGTGAAACATCCAGAGCTAATTCCGACATGAGACAATTATCGTAGATATGATGTATATTTTCTTACCTGCAGCTGCTGTCTGAGTGACGTTTTCTTCCAGGACAAAAACGGAGCTTTTCCTCTGTGGTCCCAGGGCACCACAGCACCGCCCGCCACACTGCCACCTACAAGCGGATGAAGAGAACAGCCAGGAAGTGCAAAACCCGTACGTTTGTTGACAGGAGTTTATTTTAAGACCACGAGTGTGATCTTGTAAAACGTTTCGCTGAGTTGAAATCAGCACATTATATGGCACAGTACAGCGATATAGGAGGAAGAAGAGGGAGAAGAGGGAGAGGAAGTCGTGGTGGAGAGGTGAGAGATAGAAGCCCTATAAATTCGGAAATTGTCCCAGCCAGCCATAGTTCAGAGACTGATTTCTGGCTTCTGACAGCCCTGTGTTGGCCATCAAGGCATCAGTATCAGTATCAGTATGAATTCTGGTCCTTAATTTAAATACACACAGCTTATGATTAGAGCTGAATTTGAGTTTGTGAGTGTTATGAGTGATCCCTTCTCTCCTACCAGGACAGAGATGTTCATCTGTCTAAATCCATGTCTTACGCTCTTCGCCATGGAGTCAACCAGATGGGTCTTCATATGGGTACAGGTGAGCTGCTCACAGTCTGGTCCAGGTAACATAAATGCCCCTTCACTGACTGTCAACAGTTTCTGTCTGACACAACTTTGATAGCAATTATAGATCTTAAGATATATTATCCTATTATCACCTTTGTTTTGGAGTTATTGTTCACTCTCAGTCTGGTTTCAACCAAACAGTTACCTTACCCTAATGCACTGCAGAATTATTTTTAATGATCTGTTATGTTGTGTGTGTAGCATGAAGGGACTCATGTTTGTTCACTCATCTGGTGTCTTGATGCTCACAGTTTTATTGGCAAGATATTTGTTTGGGTCTGTGCCTTAAACAGTAACTTGACATTTTCAATGAATTCTTGATTTAACCATTTGGGTTAAGAGCCATAGTTAAAGTACCTAATAAATCCAAGGTGATAATGTGGCATAGGCTTAACATCACAAGACTTGCACAGACAATGTAACATCATTTTTGATGATTTTGCTATAAATTAGGATTATTACTTTTAGTCTGAGGTCTAGAAATGGCAGGGGCTTTCTTTCTGCATCATTCACAACATCTGTAAAATACTTGCAAACTGTAAATTAATTCCAATACAGCATGCAGGGCAACAGAGAAAATCCATTGTCGAAATGTGACCGCAGCCATTAACAGTTCTTATCCCAATAGACGGATTCCTGTTTGTGGAAGAACTCCTGGCTCACCCGCAGTTCCGCTCATACTCATTGGAAGACGTCGAAAGAGTCGTGGCCACAAATGACAAGCAGCGCTTTAAGCTCCGCCCCCACCCAGAGGATGGCCGCATGCAGATTCGAGCCAATCAGGGTCATACAGTACAGGTATGCAGAGCAGCAGTAAATCTCAGATGAGTTATTCCTGAAAATATGTGGAATCTTGGGAATGGCACTGAGAACGGGATATTCAATTTTGTTAAAAAAAAACAGTGTGCCATGATGTATTATTCACCAGGTAGATGCTGTATTCAGTATTTATTCAATTTGCAACAAAATTGCTTTTAGATAGAACCATCTACTTTCCTGTGGACCAGCTAACATGTTACATCTCGGTGTGATCTAGACATAGAAAAAGTCACATCTTACTTTTGCACTTTTTGCAGATGTTTTTGTGGTCAGATGCCCAGTCTGTGTCTTCTGTATGAGTGTGGGAGAGTGTGAGTGAATCTAGAAATTATATGACCATATACTACACTGTACATTTACTTTCTAACTAACACAATTAACTCTGGGAGATCCCACAGCAGCTCAAACACTACACGTTGTTCCACTGAGTATATAAAAATGTAAAACAACTCTGGTGCTAAAATGCATTTTCAACTTTGATTATGTTGACTTTATTTGATTGTTAGTTTTTTCCTTTTGCATCATTGCATTTGTTGCACACTCTAGTAGTAGTTAAATGTGTTAGTATTACATTTCACTGCAAGATCTTCACATCAAGTAAGCAACAAAATTGTCACCATACTCAGATTTTACTTAACAGGCAGGTTTGTTACTCTCTTTGTCTTAGATTTGAATCTGATCCAAAAAACTCCAGTGTACCTTCATCTTAAATGCTGTGTTAATACTGGTTGCATTGCTGTGGTCAGGTAATGGATTTGGAGCTGAAACCGGTCCTGGCTGGTTCTCCAGACTGCCCTGCTGAGGCAGTTCATGGCTCCTACCTTCGCAACTGGACCTCCATCCAGCAGCAGGGCCTGAGGCGCATGAAAAGGACACACATCCACCTGGCATCAGGCCTGCCAGGGGAGGATGGCGTCATCAGCGGTAAGCTGTTTCTGGGTGTTGGCAGAGGAAAGTCAGCTGAACATTTAGACAAATAGGTTGTACAGTGTCATTTATTTTGCCACCAGGTATGAGAAAAGACTCTGATCTAGCCGTGTATATTGATGTCCCCAGAGCTCTCGCTGGTAAGCTTGCCTACTTAATGACTGCTACCCCATACACTGAATTCTGTCTATATACTGTGTGTGTGTGTGTGTGTGTGTGTGTGTGTGTATATATGTATGTGTATATATAAATATGTTTAGGCAAGAATCTCTCTCACATGTGTCTGTACAGACGGTATTGAGTTCTTCTGGTCAGAAAACAGTGTGTTGCTGACTGCAGGCGATGCTGAGGGAAAACTTCTCCCTAAATACTTCAGCCGTGCCTTAAGACTGAGACCTACAAGTAAGAAAAACTATCACATAGATTAATTTAATAGAGATTATTTTCTTTTAAAACTTGGATCGAGGACCAACATGTACTTGTTCACTGAAGTCACTCTTATCCTGTGTTTCAGGGAGCATCCTGCCTCTGCAGTAGCAGCAGAAGATACTGTTGTCATTGGTGATAGCAGGACTCCCCTGACTGTGCTAGCATGCCATGGTTGGTTGATGCTTATCCTAGTTCCCTTGGTAACACTTGTTTGGCAGGAGCATCGCAGCGAGATGTGGTTTGGTCAGCAACAGGAGAGTCCATTCAGAAATCATTCTCAGTGGGACTCAATTGGTAAACTTTTCATTATGGAAAGGATCTGGATGGCTTTAGGGAAGCATGCTTTATTTTTATATGACAATTCAATCATCTTATGCTGGCAAATGTCCCTTTTCATTTATGAGTATAGAGGCTTTGTTATCTCTACTGCATTGTTAGTGAGAAATACATTTTGGCGTACATTGACTAACAAGATAATTTCATAGCAGTTTTAAAATATATAACCCCAGTCACAAACACACACTGACAGCTGGCAACAACCAGCCAGGCCTTCACTGTAAATGGAGGAATCTTTGAGGATATTTTGTATGTGTGGTTAGCGTTAGTCACGTGACTAAGAATGGGAAAGCAGAGGATGCAGACACTGTGGTTTAGTTAACGGACTGCTTTTGACAGTTTCTTGTAAGATATGGACACACACACACACACAGCATGTGCCGGGAGATAAATGGTTTGAAACTTGAAAAAACAACAGAAATGATGATCACATGTCACGACCATAAGGAATGAAGACAACAGTAAATGAATAGTGAATTGCTGTATTTATTTGAATACATGTTTATTCATATATTTATTAAAGAAAACATAATAGTTTGTATTTTTGTACTCATTGTAGTTGATTCTTGGCTGTTATAATGTGGCTGTTGTAGCCATACATTTCAAACAAAAATCTAAGTGACATAAAAACTGCAGCTCTGGACAAAGAAAGGCTTTCTATCCTGAGCGACAGGAAGTCTTGATACTGCAAGGTAAAATAAGAGAAATTGCTGTTCCAACTGTTGATTTTATATTTCCATGATTGTCAAACCTGCTGATCCTGGACCAGATGTCCAGCAGTTTGGCTCAGCAGCAGTCCATCCTGAAGTAAAGGGGAAGTCAGCATGAGGACCACCGGAGTCCTGAACTGTCTGAACATGTTAAGTCGTTCATCCACTGATGTAGCTTGTGAAAAAGTTGGATGGAGGTGGGTTGTAACACATTTACACATAGAGAAGACTAGATAGAAGAAGTACTGTTCTGATGTGTTTGCCTGAATGCAAAGTAAAATCCAGTTCCACTGCTTTTCCACTGTTGAGACACAGAGCAGATCTCATGTGGGCGGTGAAGGACTTGTGTGTTTTAGTCTTAGAGAGCTTCATGGCCCCCAGTCAGCTTGTGGAAAAGCTCCTCATTGAGCGTGTCGCTCTTCTCACGACTGCGTGTCGACATGAAAATGTAGCCTCCGATGAACTCGTGAACGATTTTGCAGTCGGCGGTTATGCAGCTGAAAGCGATGTTGATGTTGCCTTCAAACTCTATGGCCACCTGGAGGAGTCGGAAACACACACAATGTATATGAGACTCTTTCAAGATGAAAGCTGAATTTTGGGGGTGGAAAAGTGTTGCACGAGTGAAGTTGCAGACGGCAACAAAATACGAACTTGATACATTTGGGATTCCTTTAAGAGTTCAGCTCTGCACTGTTAGAAGTGTAACACTTAATTTATGGGTAGTGTTAATAACATTGACAGCATGGATTAGCTGGAGTTCATGCTTTTTTAAATTTTTATTTAAAAAGTCTTACCTCACTTAAATTCAGCTGTTTTTCCTTAGTAATTATCACAAATTGATTTTAAATAAGATTTTATAAGATATGTTTGTAGATACAATTAGCCATAGAAACACTTATGGGAAACCTTAGCTAAAAGATAACTAATTCAGTACCACATACAGTATTCCTGGAAACAAAAGCTTGAGAGCTTGCAGACTGTTTTCCCTGACAGAAGCTAGATGGAAGCATTATATTGTTTTTCTCACCTGTTTTATGTCCCAGTTGACGTTCCACTGCTTCATGTTGTTGTAGCGCCACGTTTTCACCACATCACCCACGCCCAGGTCAATACGGATTAGACGGTTGGGAGCAATGCCCAGTACCTCGTCTTTGCGACTACCCTTAAACCTGTGGGGCAAAAACATCTTTAGCGTCTTTTCTTTTAAAATGAATCAATATTTAATCCTCCAAAACTATCAAAAGTTTTCTCATTGTTCATGGCCCTAAATTGAGGCTAATTGGCGCTGAATTAATTTTGAAAAGCTTTAAATTGAACTAACCTGACAACAACGTAAGAGAGCCCAAAGTCAGGCAGAGCTTGCCAGATCTGCAGGAAGCGCATCACTGCGTCTGTCAGTGGGAGCTGAGCCACGTTCTGGTATGCGTCCAGGATACGAGGGGTCAGCTGGAGGAGCAGGACAGAGTAAAAGGTCAGAAGAAATTCTATTTTTGTTGAGCACAATCTGGGCGCCGATTTCAGCTGCAGAACAGTTCAGTTAGCTAAAATGTGCCAAGTCGCTGTACTGCTGTCCAGAAACAAATGATTTCTGTTAATTGTTTGGCCTATTGCTAAATGTCATGCACAGTGTATAGGGTCAATTAACAAGAGATGATCCTGATCCAGTAGACCTGATCTCTGCTGTAGCTGTCATCACATTTACAATATTTATTATTTGTTTTTTTGACTCTCCTGTACCTGCTTGGCTTTGTACTTCTTATGGTAACGTGGCGAGACCAGACTATGAGGATTGATGCTTTCATCGTTGGCAGGTGTGTTGCCATGGGAACTGGAGCTGGTCTTTTGCATAGCAAGGAAGGAGCGGATGCTCTGGATCTCGCTCTGGAAAGTGCTGTCAGCCAGACTCTTGCCTTTGGAGCCCAGTCGACATGCAGCCATCCACTGAGCATACTGCTGCTCCTGGAGGGAGAGAGAGAGACAAAGCCACAGAGAGAGAGAGAGTGAGAAACAGACCTGTGAGGTTGAGGTCAGAGAGGTGACTCAGTGAGACAAAAATAGAGGTGTTGAAAGAGAAGGTGGTGGAAATAACAGGATGTCACATACAGAGATAAGGAGAGACGTTTGGGGGTGTGTGTGTGTGGCCTCACGTTTTCACAGCGCAGATAGACCTCATTCATGCCCTCAGGCGCTGGTATCAGCAGTCTGATAAGGAACTTCTGTGCTGCCATGTTAACGTCCGGTGCCACCTCACATCCTGTGTGAAGGATATATATCAGAACAACATCCAATACTGAAATTTGACATTTACGGGTTAGACATAGAATTTAAACATGGTGGGAAAAAGATGGGAGAGCGACGTGATGCACATTGAGTCAGACTTCCATGACATCTTGAGCATCCCGTCCACGCCTGAGCCCACTAAGTCATGCTCAGAGTTGATTTTCTGTATTTATGTTGTCATCTGCATTAGTGTTACATGCTTTTTTAAAAATAAGCATTACATTATCCTGTAATATGTAGTCATTGCTAAGCAGAGGTTACACAGAAGTGAATAAACAAGTTGCTAAACTATGACACTAATTCTGTTGATAACTGAGTACCTTGTTAGTGACATAGCAGGGGAATATCATAATAATGAAAAATACGTTAATACATTCTGTACCTTTGAGGTTAATCTGTTGAATGGGCTCTCCAATGCTCTCCTCTTTGCTCTTGAAGTAAGAGATGGAGGTATCCTGGAACTTGAACCAGTACTGCTTATATCCCTTCAGAGTCAGCCTCTTTGGCCTGAAACATCCAAGCACACAATTACTGAGTTTCAAAATTACAAATGCATGTTTTCATGTTATTTATTTTATTAGGAAACTGGTGCTTTGCTCTGTTCGAACCCATCTGTTATATAGGCTATGCTGATGCCGATGGTTGGTTGGAAAATTAATCTCACCTGAATATCTTTAGATAATCATTGAGTTCTGGTGCAGTCATGTTATCCTGAATGAAAGACAAAGATGTTTTTCAGTTGAGGTGAGGGTTTAACACACATCATGTCACAGTGTCTGCTACTTCTATCAGGATTAAGGCGAGACATTGTCACCCTAAGCCTGACAGTAGCCGACAGACGAGTACATCCTGTATGTCTGACCAGCATCTCCGATGCAGAGCTGCTCTCTCCCTCCATCTTGACCTCCAGTGACAGCAGGGCAGACTCCAGGTCCTCCATGGCTGCATTGGAGCTTAGCATCTGGGGCTCCGACTGAGACACCTTACTGATGTGGTACTGCAGGAGTTTGGGTGTAAGAGAGGAGAGTGACCAACTATGTGCTGGATGTTAAAGGAGAATACAATGCAATTTGTGTGCTATGTCTAGCTGTATCATCTGGATACTTACTTTTTCAAATTATTTATCAAAATATATAGTTCAGATTAAGTGGCATTTGTTTATAAGTTTGAAGACTTGATTTTGTTTTTGGATGAACTTCGGATGCTTTTTGATGGTTGATGTGTTTTTAATGCATTTGAGTTCAACATGCAGAGAGTTTGTATCCCAGAGTTTATTGGACTAAGATTAAGAGTGCAAAAAAGTGTATTAAAATATGTATTTTTTAAATTTAACCTGTGAAACAAAATCTAAAAGTATTATTAATAACTATGTCTTTGAAAACATCTGCATATAAATATGGAAACATTTGAATTCCTTTAATATGTGACATTTAAGAGTTTCACGAGTGAAGTATCCACTTCCTATACTGTATTTCATTATTATTTTTTAACGTTTCAAACCCCTATTTCCAACACATATTTCCCCTTTAGCAGAAGTGCTTTCTTTTTACCTGTAGGGCTCCAAACAGCATCATCTCCTCCTCGGTGCAGTCGATGTCCTCCAGCAAGATGGCCCAGCGTGCTTGCTCATACAGCTGGCTCAGGCGCACAACATCATACTGCATGGCCAGAGAAAAAGACTCAAATCAAGAGAGGAATGCAAAGCCAAATAAACACACATACTGTATCAATAAAAACAACACGCGCACACACCTTGGGTTCTATGTCATAGAAAGCAAAGTATTTGAAACGAAGCCAGAGTCTGTCATTTTCTTGGATGCCCTGCTGCATAAGACAACGGGATGAGTCCAACCACCTGAGAGGGAAAGACAATAAGTATGTGTTTATGAGCTTATGCAACATACATGTATATATATTTATTTTCAAATATTCATATTGAGTTTTCAAACTTCATCATACAACTTACTGGTCTGCACAAGCTCTCATTTTCCCACTTAGCCAACATGCTAATTAGACATGCACCTGCATGAGCTGGATAATACAGCTCTCAATCGATACAATAATAATAATAATAACAACAATAATACATTAATAATTGATAAAAGAATTGCCCCCAAAGTCTAACTTATATTATATATGCACACAGTCTTTAAATCAAAGATAACTCCTGTGGTTAGATTTTGACATTTTGAGAGAAAGGAATCTTGTTGGACCGCTTACACTGATGTATAATATGTGCAGTAAAGACTGTGACTGTAGAATTTAAAGTTTTTGTTCTTGTCTTATAAGCCACAGCTCTTCACTATGATGTTGTCACAGTCTTTCCATAGACTATTGCTGGTCCTAACTTAAAGGAAGGGCTTATCATACAGATATTTGTGAAAGCATACCTGCCATGGATGTGGGCCTTGTCCACCACGCTGGCGGGGCGGTACTGCTTGGCTATGACCTCGGGGGTGGGGGGAGGCTGGGTGACTGACAGCATCTTGTAGATGGCCTCCATCTGAGGTGAGTCGGCAAAGTGAGCCGGCATGCCATTATACAGACAGGGCCGGGATGCTGCACATGAAGTGTAGGAAGGTTACGGTCACATTTTCCAGGGAGTTCCCTTTGTAGACATCAGTCTACTAGTCGATATATGACTCAGTTTCTATTTTAAAATTCACAGTAACTACTTAATAAAATGGCAGTTTTTTTAGACTCCATGATTAGTCTTCTCCACTGTGCCCCAAGTGATGTTCTCAGGCCTCATCATCCCAATGTCATACCCAAACCCAAAATGCCCAAATCATTTCTCAGGGGAAAGTGACCCAAGAAACCGATTCTTGTTGATACTGCGTATAGTTCACTTAATTTGCTGTGACTATGCTTAGACTGACTATGCTTCTGCATGGACATAGTAGCATTATCTGTACAGTCATAAATGAATGGGAAATCAAAAAAAAAATTAAATGTAATTAAAACCTTTGATCTTGGCTTTTTGTTTTATAGGATTTGCTGTATTCTGCATTATATAATATATAGCACATATATCATTATTCTGCAGTATTCTTACCAAGTAGATCTTTAAATATAAATTAATAATTATAATAAATATTTGCTAAGAGCCACTAGTTATAAAATGTGTGCATGTCAAGCCTGCAGTGTGAATGATGTGTGATGGAGTGTACCCGAGGAGAGGGGCACCTCGGTCAGGTCGTAGATCTCCTCTGCCGAGTCCTTATCTTTCTTCTTCTTTTTCTCCTCTACGGGCCGAAGGAGGGAGAGCTCCTCGGGGTGACGGATATCTGTGTAGGAAATGGATGCAAAGATAATTAGCTTTATTAACTGAATGTCTCAGCTATAATGCTGACAGAAATTAATATGTAGAGAAGGGACAGCCTGATCACTATGGGAATGGTGCAGTGACTGAGGCTACATGCTGAGGCACTGGACACCTGACACTAACAGTACAGCATATATTCATATATACATTTTTGTAGGTCATCCAACCCCAGATGAGAAGGAAAGTATGCTGCTTCTTCCAGCTTTCCAACAGCAGATTCACGTCACAGTGAAACTATATGTTCACTTGTGGACAGTGTGTTGTGTTTAAGTCTGGGAAAAATATGACACAAAAGATACTTTTTACATGTGGTACAATTGCTTTCTCTCTCTGTTATCAGCTACTGTTTGAGCAACTCCATCCTCAGTGACTCTAACAAGTACATACTGAATCTGAGAAATTAATTGTACTCAGTTCCTCAGAACTGAAAAGTTCGTAGGTTTTGTGTGTTGATAAAACTGCTTTTAAAATGTTGTACTGTTGTATTAAAATGAAGTGTGAATTTATTTGAATGATAACAGACATTAAAAAAATACATTTTTGTTTATTTAACCACTCCTGACCAATTTATCATCCGACTGGTGGACCAATTTCTTGCATTAAATAAACTCTGTTGCGCAATGGCAATATGCTAATATTTGGGTGTTAGGATCATTGACACCTTTGGACATGTATACAGCACATTTGGAATATGCGTCTCAAGTGGGCTTTTCCCCCACTTTGTACTCAATTTAGCTCCACCATCGTTTGGTTTGTTGATAACTGAACCAGTTGTTATCCAAACATACAATAAAGAAATTCATCTTTTGTCAATTTAACTGTTCCCAGCCAATTTGTCATCTGATTGCATGTGTCTGACTCCAAATCAGAAGGTTGCGTGTTCAAATCACATCAGGGTCATTTCTTGTGTTTACTCATCAGTGTTGTGTTTAAGTCCCGGAATTACGCATTGTCCAGTGGTGAAATATGAGACAAGTCATGAAAACAGCATAGTCTCAATAAGGGTTTATTCCTAACTATAGCATTTTCTGATTAAGACACGTGGGATATGTCTATATTCGGGTTTTAGGACCATTCTTTGGACATGCGTCTCAATTGGGGCTTGTCGCCCACTTTGCGACACATGGCCTACTATGATCTAATCAATTTAGCTCCACCAGTGTTTGGTTTGTTGATAAGTGGACCAGTGTTACTTGCTGGACAGACTCTGTGGCGCAACGGTAGCGCGTCTGACTCCAGATCAGAAGGTTGCGTGTTCAAATCACGTCAGGGTCATTTCATTTGTTTGCTTATAAGTGTTGTGTTTAAGTCCTGGAATTACGAATTGTCCAGTGGTGAAATATGACCCGAGTCATGAAAACAGCATATTCTCTATAAGGGTTTATTCCTAACTATAGCATTTTCTGATTAAGACACGTGGGATATGTCTATATTTGGGTTTTAGGACCATTCTTTGGACATGTGTCTCAATTGGGGTTTGTCGCCCACTTTGTGACACATGGCCTACTATGATCTAATCAATTTAGCTCCACCAGTGTTTGGTTTGTTGATAAGTGGACCAGTGTTACTTGCTGGACAGACTCTGTGGCGCAAAGGTAGCGCGTCTGACTCCAGATCAGAAGGTTGCGTGTTCAAATCATGTCAGGGTCATTTCCTCTGTTTGCTTATAAGCGTTGTGTTTAAGTCCTGGAATTATTTTGAAAAGAGATTAAACCAAATCTCAAATGCTCAATGCTCAAATCACATTACTTTCCCTTGATTGGGACACAGCAGAGTCCACCTTACATTTCCAAAACAGATTTGTGCAGGTGTAGTTGCCCAACTACAGTTGTGTAACTACTGTATAATAAAGGCACTGCAGATACAAACAATATACTGTAGAGGTGAGATAAGCACTCATGTGCGGAGAGTTCAACTTTCTAGTTTGGTTAGTTGACCAGCCAGGCACCTCAGTTCTCTGCGATTCACAAATAGATACGTATTCATGTTGTGGTACAATTGCATTCTCACTCAGTTATTAGCAACAGTTCATGCAACTCCGTCCTCAGTGAGTCTCACAAGTACACACTGAATATGAGAAATTAATTGTACTTCTCATAAGTGGATTTAGTGATGAAATAACTTGTGAAAATTGTAAAATATAAAACTTTCTGTTGCTGGCCTCTGTCAGGCATGCGCAATGATGATGCAGTGAATAGTGACGATTCTCTCTGACCAATCAGTACTCTGCTGTGTTTTCACGTCACATTTTAGTATTGCCTCTGCTCGCTTGGAACCTCGATGGAGGTAATACGAAAAAAAGTACCTGTAAGCAGATACAAGTACAACTTTTACACAATGAAAAACCAAACAAAGGCGAGTCGAGTCGAGCCGAGTCGAGCTGGTACTATACAGTGGAAAAGGGGCTAAAGTAGGTAGGTTTTGTGTGTTGATAAAACTGCTTTTAAGGTTTATGATGTTCTGTTGCATTACAATGAAGTGTGAATTCATTTTAATGATAACAGACAAGATTTTTTTTTGCCAATTTAACCGTGCCTACCCAGTTCGTCATCCAATTGATGGACCAATTTAGAGTTTGAAACAGACTCTCTGGCGCAACGGTAGGATGTGACTCCAAATCAGGAAGTTGCATGTTCAAATCACATCTGGGTCATTGAGGGAACTCCTCTTTAAACAAATTTTATCTGAATATGTGACTCAGGGTTACTCAGTAGTTGGAATTATACATATATATGATCTCTGATACTTATCACTTCGAAAATGGTCAATCGGCAGTGTTGTGTAGTGCGTCTGAGTCCACATCAGGGTCACTTATACTGTGACTTACAGTTTTTGATATATCATTAGAATTATATATATATAATTAAGCTAAGCTTGAAACCACAGCTCATCTTTATTATATTAACTTAATGTGTATCTATCACTAATTCTTATTCATCAGTTTGTAGATTCACATAAAAATTTAGTTGATGGCAACTACAAAAATGTATGTGACAAAGTTCAACTTTATCTGCAAACTATTTATTTGGTATTACGATAAAGATATTACGATTATTACAGTAAGAAGATACATTAAGGGACTAAACCTGTTGCTTCTAATTACTTTATCTCAAGGAGGATTTTGCATGTTTCAGAGGCACATAAACAAAAGAGGGAAACCATCTCTATCCCGTAAGGCTTCAACTGCCAGTAATGGGCTTCCTATTCCAGTAAAAACTGTGGAATATAAATCCAAAGTGAATAATTGGCTAATGGAATGCCTTGCTTGCAAAAAACAATAGTTTCTTCTGTCTTCAAGTAGCAAGTATTGTTGAGGGCTTCTCTTCTGCTCTCCAGTGGAAGTATTTCCTTTGTTTTTATCTGCAAAGGGATTTATCAGAGGTTTATCCCTGTGTGCCTGCTCCTCCTCCATGTGTTTTAACTACCTGCATTGCAGCGTTGTAACTTTGATACAAATGAGAGCTTTCCTAATCTGTATATCTGCTCTCTCTAAGCTGCTTTTCTACTGACGGATTTCATTATTTCCCCTCGGCCTGCTGCTTTTCAAAACCTTTCCAGTCTGCTGTCACCTCCTGGGGATTTCTGGTGAGGAATTGAGACCAAGAAGTGCCAAAATAAGACTAAATGAAAGCATGAAGCAGATGGCAAAAGTCTTGTTTTCTGGTAATGATGTGTGTGTGTGTGTGTGTGTGTGTGTGTGTGTGTTGGTGCAGCCAATTCGACTGCAACATATTAATGAGACATTTTTTCACATCTTGGAGAATAATTAGGTTGTAAAGTGCTTTTATGGTGTGAGTCCTCACACACAGGCAGAACAGTGAGAAGGAGAAGTGAAAAAAGGAACAGTTAGTGTGGATGGAAAATATGTTGGATGGTGTGGATGGAAACCACTGTTTGATGTCAAAATATGCATCTTTATTTTTTTTTAAGTAAATGAAGGGTTTAAGTAATGGCTTAGTGAAAGTAGACTATGTCTATTGTTACTTGGATTTTTGGCAGTTTTGGTGCCTTAATGATAGGGGGAACCAAAAAGTAAAAAAGAAACAGACAGAAAGAAGAAAGTAAGCAAATAAGGCAGGGTGGAAAGAAAGAAATAAAGTTCAGAATTAAGAATAACAGATTAAGGATGGAAGGAAGGAAATAAATAAATAACTAGAATAAGGAACGAAATAAAGGAAATAAAATAAAGAGACTGAGACTCACTGAGCATTCTGCAGATGCCCATCACGGTCTGGAAGGCGGGGGAGGAGAAGCAGGCCCGGAGCCTCAGGGTAATGCCGTTAGGCAGACCCAGTCTCAGTGGCTTGTGTTGGGGCATGAAGATAAGCCGGGCGTCGGCGTGGATGCCATATTTCTCCAGAGTCCAAGCTGTCCGCAGCAGCCACCGCTGCTTCTGCTCCCACCATAGCGCATGGTCCGACCAATCACGCGTGATCTCTGCAGGGGACAGACACACTCAATTTTATTAGTAAGTCCTGACATTTTGTCCTGACTTGCCGCTTTACCACTAAAGAGACTCTGTGGCGCAACGGTAGCGCGTCTGACTCCAGATAAGAAGGTTGCGTGTTCAAATCACGTCAGGGTCATTTCCTCTCTTTGTTCATCAGTGTTGTGTTTAAGTCCTGGAATTACGCATTATCCAGTGGTGAAATATGACCCAAGTCATGAAAACAGCATATTCTCAATAAGGGTTTATTCCTAACTATAGCATTTTCTGATTAAGACAAGTCATGAAAACAGCATATTCTCTATAAGGGTTTATTCCTAACTATAGCATTTTCTGATTAAGACACGTGGGATATGTCTATATTCGGGTTTTAGGACCATTCTTTGGACATGCGTCTCAATTGGGGTTTGTCGCCCACTTTGCGACACATGGCCTACTATGATCTAATCAATTTAGCTCCACCAGTGTTTGGTTTGTTGATAAGTGGACCAGTGTTACTTGCTGGACAGACTCTGTGGCGCAACGGTAGCGCGTCTGACTCCAGATCAGAAGGTTGCGTGTTCAAATCACGTCAGGGTCAGGCTCGTTTTCATGAACACAATGTTTAAAGAGGTGGTATTATGCTTTTTTGCTTTTTCCCTCTCCTTTATTGAGTTATATATCTTTTTGTGCATGTAATAGGTTTGCAAAGTGAAAAAAGCCCAAAGTCCACCCCAAAGTGAGTTCCCATCTCTCACAGAAAACACTGCTCTGAACTGCCTGAAAATAGCTGGTTTGTAGTCCAGCCTTTACTTCTGCTTTCTTGTGATGTCACAAGAAAATACCTGTCATAATGCTCGCTGAGCGACTAGTCTGACACGCCCTCAAAAACACTGGTGGAAAAACACTGAGCTGCAGCGCCCACCTCTCCTCTCCCTTCCAAACACTAGCTACCCTCCAGGCAGTCAATGGACATGAAGTTGTTACTGTGATGTAGAGACAGAGCTTGATTAAAACTTTATGGATGAAAAATACTTTTGTTACAGATTAATAACTCACCACTCTGAAACTCTTGCTCCAGTCCATATTGCCAAGCTGGTTGGCAACATGTAGCCTACAGCTGAATCGAAGCTGTTTACCTCTTTTCGCTGACCTGCCCTTCTCTGCTTCTGATTGGCTAGTAGTCCTTAACTAGGAACTGCGCATGTGCAACTCCCAACAAAGATCATTTAGAGATAGATGTATCACTCTATAGCTAAAACAAAGCCTTCAACACAGGGTGAAAAGAGGAGCTGCAGCAATGTGCAGTATGACAAAAAATATGGTGTTTTTTTGAAAATGAAACCATGTAAACCTGTTCTGGTACAACCTAAAATAGGATTTTGAACCTGAAAATGAGCATAATACCACCTCTTTAATCAATTTAGCTCCACCAGGGTTGGGTTTGTTGATAACTGCAACAGTAGTGTGTCTAACTCCAGATCAGAAGGTTGTGTGTTCAAATCACGTCAGGGTCATTGTGTGAACTGCTGTTTGCACAAATTATATCTGTATAATTAACTCTGGCTTACTCAGTAGGTGGAATTATACATATATATGAACTGCAAACACATATCACTTTGTAATTTGTCTACCGGCAGTGTTGTGAAGTGCATCTGACTCCACATCAAAACGTTCCATGTTCAAATCATATTACTTTCCCTTGATTGGTACACAGCAGCGTGCACCTTACATTTCCAAAAGAGATTTGTGTATGTGTAGTTGCCCAACTACTAGACTGAAAATACATAACAAGGTTTAATAAGCAGAGCAAGCACAGACCTTATGCCGAATGTAACTTTTTACGATTAAGACACGTGGGATATGTCGATATTATTTGAGTTTTAGTATCATTCTTTGGACAACATTCAGAATATGTGTTTCATTTGGTGTTTTAAATGAATATTTTATTAAAACACTAATTGGTTTAGTAAGTACATGGTTTTAGTGAGTAAATGTTCCATCACGATAACCTGTTCTACAAATGCAAAGCCTCATGACACAATAGGTATTGTATTCATGTTGTGGTACAATTGCGTTCTCTCTCAGTTATCAGCAACAGTTCAAGCATCTCCATCCTCAGTGAGTCTCACAAGTACCCACTGAATCTGAGAAATTAATTGTACTCAGTTCCTCAGAGCTTAAAAGTAGGTAGGTTTTGTTTGTTGTTCAAACTGCTTTTAAGGTTTATAATGTTGTACTGTAACAGACAATAAAGAAATTAATTTTTGTCAATTTAACCACTCCCAAACAGTTTCATCTGATTAGTGGACCACTTCCTAAGACCAAATAGACTTTGTGGTGTAATGGTAGTGCATCTGACTCCAGATCAGAAGGTTGTGTGTTCAACTCACGCCAGGGTGTTTACTTGTGAATAGTGTTTTTAACTTCAGTGTGTTTAAGCCTGGGAATTGTGCATTGTGTCTAGTTTAATAATAAGAGCACTAACCTACCCACCAAATCCCTACAGGGGTCATTGTTTGTGTTTCTAGCTCCATTTAATGGATGACATGTTAGACATGAGTGTGCATATTTTATAGAGAGATATATAAGCTCTCCGTGAAATGCATTGTCAAATACTTTTGGCTTTTCTTGTAGTTATGAAAATCTTTAAACCATGAGCAATTTTAAATACTACATGGACAGTAGTTACTGGATGAGGTAAAACACAGTTTAAATGTGTTGATATTAGCATTAACGCACATGCTGAATATACTCAGGTTATTGCTTGGACAAACCCTTGAAAAAAATTATTTAAAGTAGATTTTGGGCAAACTGAGGAGTATATACTGTATGTTACACTGGTGACATTACATATATAAATATATAAATCACATGTTTAAATAATACTTAACTTATGATATTAATGATCAGAAATCCTGTTAAAGTGTTACTGATACACAGAATGTGAATTCTTGTGTGTCCATGCAAAGTATGTAACTATTTTTAGTCTGTGCACCGTTACTGATAGAAAGACTGAGCGAAAAACAGAGATAGACAGACAGACTGTGACCCACGTGTCTTTTCCACCAGCTTTAGGATGACCCCTCCGATGTGGAGGTCAGATGCCACGCTGATGGTGACAGGTGGCGCATCAGACCCCAGGTCCTCCACTATGACTGACAGGTCCCATGCCGCCATACTGGGAGAAAGAGAGAGAGAAATGCAGGACTGACAGAGTGGAAGAGACGAATACCAGGAGGGAAGATAAAAGCAGGGAAGGAAACATGGAGAGTGAAATAAATGGTAGATTTATTAAAGCAAGGACAAGGAGAATAAGAACAAGACGTATAATTAATCACTTCATTTGTTTTTCCACCACACTGATTAAACTGCCAGTACCATCTCTTCAGGTGATTCCATAATGCCAAACTGAGTGATTTAGCAATAATTTTTTGCTATATAAGACCTATATATGTGAGAAATTGTGCACTTTGATATAATAAAATAAATTGTTAAAATGCCTGGGGAAAACATTAAAAAACTCTTTAAGACTTTCAGAATAAAGTTTCATGCCTAAAATATGAAAGACAATTTCAGTTCTACTACATATTAATGACTAACAGGCATTTTAAGAGGGATAAAACTGCTGTGAAAAGTTGAGTTACATATGCCATAACTGTATTAAACTAAATTTAAAACATGTGTAATAGAACTAGATTTATTTCATAACACAAAACCTGCTTCAGTTTTCCAGGACATTTCAGATATTAAATGAGACAAAGAGGACAGATGACCTATCAATCAAAGTTTACTCATGGTTTAATATCACATTACACTGGGTACACACACTGAATGGGTGAGTTGATTCTGACATGTCCAGTTTGATGAGCACTTCCTGTTTCTGACTCTATCTATCACCAGGGACACGCACTTCCGCTTTCTGACCCACCCAAGTTGAGATGTTCATCCAATGCCAATACAGAGACACTGCTGTATGAAAGCCCATTGTAAAGATCTCACATTTAATGATCAAAATGTAAGTCTTTTCCCCATGCATCTGTATTTTCAAAGACTAATATTACAGACAATGGTGTAACAATGAAAAGATGACATGCCTACACCCCTCCTTACCTCTTAGAGGCCTAACCTTATCTGCATGTTTCTGAATATAAATTAAAATATAGATCTGTGACCAGTTCACTTTTTACATTGATACTTTGTATTTTGACCTAATAAATGACACCACATCTGTATATTTAATACAAAAGTCTCACACATGCACACCCTGCCCTAAATCGCTCTCTCTTTGTCTGTCTTTATGCTTTCTCCCACACTGTCACTCACACACATACACACACACACACACAAACACACTTAGAAAGAAAATACCTTTAGTCCCCTCTGTCTAAGGTTTTGAGAAGTGGAAACTTGGGGACTCCTGTGCTACCGTCAGATCTCTGAAGAAGTTTCCCAGGCTTTTTGTGAAAATGTGCCGCTCTCGGGCTGGGCAGGTTGTGGTCTCTGTAGCTGTGTCTGCGCTGCTTGTGTCACTTCTGTCGAGAAAGGCTTGTTCCTTTTTTTGTCAGTTTCCGCCAGCCGGAAATGTGAAAAGGGTTAAACGTTTGACTGACAGGCTGTGTGAGTGATGCATTTTAGGCAATGTGTGTGCATGTGCAAACAGCATTGTGTGGGAGATAACATTTGAGATATTAAATGGACATCCTCCAACATTAAGGCATTCCTCCCTTTGTTTCTTTGTATTTCTTCCCCCTTTTCTTGAGAATTGCAAGCACACATACAGTAGATTAGTAATCATATTTTGTGTGTTGCAAGGTCAGCAATGAGCAGATTTAGGGTGTGGGTTATGAATCTTACATTAAAGTAATGTCAGATGACATATAACTACAACAATTATTTTTTGATCGAATTTTTCATGAAATTAAAAAACCTGAATTGAAAACTTTCCTTTGTAAATTTAATTTAAAATTATAAAGATTATTATTAATAGTTAGTTCACAGGAAATGGCTACTCACACACCTCTTTCCCTGCCCCTCTCTTCCCCTCTCCCCCTCTCCCTCTCTCTCTCAGGCTGAACCACCCGCGCTGTACTTACAAATCCCCATATGGATCCTCTTTTTGTCCATGTTATCTGTTTATGAGGCAATAACAGGGTGCGATTTGTAAAAAAAGGGAGGGGGGATGTTTTGAAAAGCATTTTTTTTTTGTCATGAAAATACTGGGCTGCTTGTCATCATAGAAACAGATCATCATATTTTGATGTTTATTGCACCTTCAGAAATATCGGCTGCCTTCTTTTCAACAAACAGCTGCGCTGTTGATAGACTATTATTCGCAACGTGTAACTACTCAGATAGTGCTGTGGGTGGGGTAAATAAATAAACAAATACAGATTATATATATATCCTACACGTCCTGCTAACTATACAGGGTTTATTTTTTATTTACATTGTAATTATAATCTTTCAAGACCCACGCCCAACCACGCAACTTCTCCTTGTTATAATTATTATGACATTTACTGGCTTGTTTGGTCAGCCAGTGAGTGAACCCTCATCTGTAATTCCAATATTTCCGACAGTATTGAAGGAGGCGTCAGCTTGTGGTCGTTGGCTTCGCCTTTCCCATGTCATTTGAGTCGGGGTTCACACTGGCTGTGAGACTGAAAATAGAGCAGCGCTGGTCCCACTGTACCATATCATTTTCACTTATCATAACAGTACCCTTTAAATGCCGCTACTGGACACTATATAAACGTTTATTGACGCGTTTTACAGTTTGTCGTTTAGCTATGGCCAACTCGCACCCCTTGTAGATGGTACATTCCACACGTTCACGCCCCAAACAAAAATGGCACATGTGAGCTAACTGCCGTTCACCAGAAAGAAGTGTGTGTACGTTTCGAAAACGAAACCGTTTTGGCGGAGACTATTCTCTGTGAGGCTGTATCAACACGAAGTGTTGTCTCCCTCTGTGTCACTCAGCCATGGCACTGCAAATATCTGCTCTATTTTCATATATCAGAGCCCCACTGTTCACAGGCCCTCTGTCCCGTGTACGCGCAGATTTCAAGGGAGCCGGTGTCAAGTTCAAACACATTTTAAATACAGGGAGACCCCAGTTTGGAGGGAAGCCAGCAACAAGTCCTCTCCGCGGCCATATTAACGTTGCCCTGCGAACTGAGAAGTTTTCAACAACACCGACGGCGGCACTTTGGAAGTCCAGCCAGGGGAACGGTTCCTCTTCACCTCGGGGAAGGAGAGGCTGGCTGGGCAAGGTCGCCCTCGGTGCCGCCCTCGGAGTGAGCACAGTCGTGGTGGTCCAGTCTCTCCACACCGGAACCCTTACCGCCATGGCCCTCAAAATTAACCTGAACTCCGCTGAGGGAGACTGGAAGGAGACCAAGGGTGAGACTGTTCAAACCAAGGCCGAGGAGAGGATTTTAATTTAATTTTAAAGCAGCTACCCTGCAGCGTGCTTTGTAAACAAACGAAAGAGAAACGTTTGTGCTGTCACATGACCAAAAAACCTGTCCAGCTGTCATTCACTTAGTGATAGAAAAAGCGTACCTGAGAGTTGTCACAAGACTAAAACTACAGCGACTCTGTGCTTTCAAAATGGATGACGATGATGATACCAAACCGTTATTAGATTTAGTATACTATAAACTCAAGCTATATACAATACAATATATAAAAGACACAATTGAAGTCAGTATAGGAATGACATAAATACATTTGGGCAGCAACTCATGGTCATTTTAATGGATTATCTAGCCCAAAGTGATGTTTTTAAACTATATTTTAGTTGATCCATAGATTGAAAAGCAATAGATATGAATTTGAGAATAATACAAAATGAAGAAAAGCAAGCAAATAACTCTATGAGTAAATATTTGGTGTTTATACTTAGTTACCAATGGCTCATGCAATAAATCAGAAATCCTAATCAATTGCAGTAATTTATTGACACACAACATGTATTTTGCAGTCTTCACTGATTAAATCTGTTCTTGAACAAACTGGAACTTGAGTGCCAAAGCTGCACAAAGACCATGAAGTACTCTTAGGGTACTAAAATCTCACAGTATATTGTGCACTGTAGGAATTTTACTGTTCATTAGGTGGGGATTCAGGAGCTATTTTGTCCTATTCTTCATAAATTTTTTCTTTAGTATCATTTGTATCACGTTTCTGTTTCTTTACATAAATGACTATATAACAAAATATTTATATTTATCTTACAGATTATATATTCTTTCCCTATTGTCTCTTAGACTTCTTGCTGTCTCAGACTGTGAACGACAGGCGTCAGTACTACAGGACTTCTAGCTATGAGAAGCTTGACGACATCCCAGTGTGGACTCCCGCTGCAGGTCAGACACCCAACATCAATCAAAGTCACTGTCAAGTTCATTCAGGGTTGGGCGGTGGAGTTCTGCTAGTGTTTTCAGATATTTGGCCATAGCACATTAAATAAATCGCACACTGAGAGCATTTACAAATTATGAGCAACATAAAGAGAGTTGGAAGCTCCTTGCAAAACGTAATATCAACACAAATCAAAAAATTAACATACTTAAATTACATGTATTAGTTTATCAGCTCATATCACATAATCAGAAGCTTCAGTACAGTATGATTGTTGAAGTGCTTCCATCTGTCCTCATTTTGTTTATCTATTTCTGACTGATGTGGAAGCCCTTTCCCCTGTAGCCTATATGAAATGCAAACAAACAATGACATTTTTGCCTACAGTCTTCAACTATGAGGACTACAGTGTATCCCATACGTTAATTTATTTGTGGCGGCCCGCCACAATATCAATGCTGACCGCCACATATTGATTTTCGTTTTTTTACCAGGCCTATTTAAAATCATATTTGCGCAACACGCAGCACCCCCCCCCCCCATACCTGATGTGATGACAGCTATATTTAAAGATTGTTCACACTACTATATTAATATGTCCAATTTAACACTGCAGATCCACAAACCAAGACCTGTTTGGTTGAAGAAGAAGAAGTTGTGAAAACATTCTTGTGTAATTTAACCATAAAACTTTTGTTAATAATTGCTAATTCAAGAATTTGTACTGTTGTGTTTTATTATTTTAATGTTGAGTATAGGAACAAACCCCTTGTGCAAATTTACCAGGCCTATGTAACGTAATAAGATCCTGTATTGTATGTGTGTGTCTCGTTATCAGGTGCTTCTGAGCAACCTCTCCACCCGAGGAATGAAAAGTTGGACCACAAGATTTCCCTCTACAGCGGTGACATCACCGAGCTGGAGATAGATGCTATTGTCAATGCAGGTATGTGTGTGTAAACGGGTGGGTGTTTGTTTTTAGGTGGATCTGTTTGTAGGTTTGTCACCAATGATCGACTTTCACATATAAAAGGAGAAAAAAACAACGAGATAAAACATGATTTTATTTCCTCTTTTTGTAGCAATTAGTAATCAGCAGGTAAAAAAGAAACACAAAAAAATATGAAGAAAAAAGTAGTGGGAAATATGAAAAAGGCCCCAGTCTGTTTGTGCACATACCTTTAGCACAAAACACCTATGAGTTTGTGCTGTGATTATGGGTATGATGTTTTTTCAGTGTGTGGGAGGGACAGCTAGGCTTTTATCAGGTTACCAACATATTTGTAGTGTGAAGTAGTGTACATACAGTACAGAAGACTAGAAGAACCACAACAGGGTTTAGAATCAGAAGGATTGCTGACTGGCTCCCAATTTATAGTGATATGTGGTGTTTTGTGAAGGAAGAAAAAAATGAGGAATCAGCTGTCAGTGAACACAGCTAAGCATAGTTATATTTGGTTACCCCATCATCAGCGTAGTTTACGATACCATAAAGGCATAAAATAAATGGTTTGGACATAGTGCATGTACACATAAGGAGTGTGTTTTGTTTTTGTTTTATTCAGGGTCCGTGCAGGCAGATACATTGTTTGTTTTTGTCTTGTTTATGTAGTATCCCATCGCCATTTGTTTTTGAGGACACTACATCTGTTATCGCAACCAACTGCTAGTGCTGATTATTTTAATTATCAGTGAACCTCTTGATTATTTTTTTAGATAAATTGAATTGTTATTAACGTGTTGTCTTATTTTGTGAAAACCCCCAAAATATGCGATTTAGAATGATATAAAACTCAAAAAGCAGTTTCTGTTTTACAATCAATGAAAATACAACAATTGCGCTTCTGGTAGAAAAAAACTATGAAATATATATATATAAATATTTCATGTTCTATCATAGTAAAAATACCAATACTTATGAGGAAAACATATAAATTGATACTGAAATATATTTATTTGGGCTTTTTATGCACAAACCAATGTAATACTGAGCAGTTAAAAAATTTATCTCAGCCATCATAACTCAGCTAACAATAAAGATCTGATACCAAATTTAATTAAAAACATTTAGTAATATCAAGTAATATAATTTAGACTGAAAAATATTTTAAAGATAGGTGTACCATTTGCTCACATATCACCCTTCCTCCTATCAGTTGTTGTTGTTTTCCAGCACTTCCAAGTAGGATTAGAGTCTTTCTAGTGACCATTAGATGGAGCCAAAAGCCAGAAAATTTCCTGAAGACCTCTTCCCACAAGGCTGTTTGTGCAATTGGGGGGGACATTGAATCTGTGTCTTGGCACAGACGGTGCATCAGGGGAGAGCGAGGCAGGCCAGCATGCCTAAATGATGCTTGACGATGAGGCTTTAGCAGAAAATGATAGATCTTCATTGGCAGCTGACTGTCAGCAGGTGTACACTGTGCCAGCATCCAGTGAATATGTTGATTGTTGACTCCCATTTACGGAACTATTGCTTGTGTTTGTGTTTGTGTGCTTGCAAGCGTTCATGCATGCATCCGCCTGCAAATGTTTAAGTAATTATGTGTGTATACAGTAAGTAATTGTAATTTGTGGAGGCGACTTTGCGCTGGTGTGTGTGTTTGTGTGTTTTATAAGAGCTTTTACAGAGTCGCACGATGCAAAGTAGCATGGAATTAACAAGAGGAAACAGCTAGTAAAGTGTCATTTAGCCGAGAGGACGAGGCAAGGTGAGGGAGGGAGGCAGAAAAACACAACAGCGCCAGAGGAAACATGACTGAGAGACGGAGCCTGAGAGAGAGAGAGTGTCAGCACGGCGACTCACCAAAAGAGAGGGGAGAGTCTGGAGGAGTGAAAAGAAGAGGATAAAAGAGAGGCAGGGAGGGGACACAGGCTAGTATTTAAATCTCGCTCTGCATTGCCATGGCAACAAGCAGGTACACGGTACCCTCAAAAGGGGTTTTGGGCAGCAGAGTAATCATCATGCTTTTCTGTCTGACTGACTGGCCGGCCAGCTGACTGTCTCTGTGGTCATTCCGTCGACTAAAAGCGGCTGACCTTTTCATTCGATGACTAACTGATTGACTATGAGGCTTGAAGTGATGTCCGGCGGACTTAAAGAGATATGACGTTAAAATAACAGAGAGCAGCAAATAGACATCAAGGGACAATTATGAAAGAGACAGTTAGTTACTCTCGTTTAGAAATTTGCCAAACCTACTGCATACTCCTGTTGCAGATCTAACAGCAGAGCATCAGCGTTAAAGCAGCCAAAGCGGGGCCTGTGGTTTTTGACATGTGGAGGGGAGTGTTGTGGGTTTTTTTCTCTGGCTGCTCTGAAAGGCCTTGAAGAATCATTTAGCCCATAACACAGCAAACATTCAATTGAAGCCAACTGTGGCCAATTATACGCTATATTGGCAGACTGGTTGGCAAGTTGGGAGGGGGGCACCCAGGCCTGGCTAGTGGTTAGGCATTGACTGCAGACACACAAAAACACGCATGAATGCGTAAAGAGACACACACACACTTTAAAGTGTGGAAACATGCAGACACAGAAGCACCGGAGACCTTTGAATGAACAGGTGGAAACTATGTAATATGCTGCTCCACCCTGTTCCTTCTTTCCTTCCTTTCCTGTCTTCTTTCCTTCCTTCCTTCCTTCCTTCTTTCCTACTCTCCTTCCCTCAGTCAGCACTGATTGATCAGGTAAGCAGGGCGTTGCAGGGAGGCTGGGCGGGGCGCTGTTTGTCGTTTGTGTCGCTCTCAATAAAGATTGCATTTACAGTAACTCTCCACTCCTTCTCCTCTTCCTCCTCCTCCCCCTCCTCCTCCACTCCACCCACCTTTCTTCCACACTTTTACAGCCCCTGGCTCCTGCCCACTCCACTATAAAACACTACAAACATAAAAACCCACAAGCACTTAAGAGCCGTCCTGGCGAGGAGGGGGCGGTGGTATGGGTGGAGGAGACGGCGGGCCGAAACATCCTCCTCTTTACACCCCTCAATCACTCCGTCCGGAGAAGGAGAGATAGATGGAGGGGAGGATATATTGTCTCTGATGGGCTAGCTGATTAAGATGGATTGCACAATGAAATGTCGTTGGAGTGATGAGTTCTTGGAGTGTGTGTATGTGTGTGTGTGTGTGGAGACCACGTCTCGGCAACTAACTTTGCATTAAAACCTTTTTTTCAAATTGATTAAATGCAAATTTGCTTAGCTCTACTGAGCTGCATTTTCACTAGCAAAAGTTTTATTCCTCATTTCCATTCCAGCACTCACTCTCCACCGCTGTAGTGTTTATCGTGTTTGACATTAAATGCTATTTATTTTGGCCTACCTTTTTTTCCGCGTAGAATTGAAATTTAATTGAAAAAGATTTAAAAACTGGACGTATACGTCTTCTCAGTATTTTTGTGTAATGTCCTTTTTTTCTCCAGTGGAGCTAACTCCATGTATGAGAGTAAATGCAGCGGCAGAGTCGGCTGATAAATCTTTCAGGCAAGACTATTAAAAACTGTCCCTAAAATTAAGCCGTGCACCGTCAAGTGATAAAGAATATTCTGGTGCTATCTCTTTAATCTTTAGAGCTGAACCACTTGTCATCGTCACAATTTCTGTCTTCTGAGAGCTTGTGAGAGTGTGTGTGTTTATGCAGGACTGGGTATGTGTGTGTCTCACCTCTGCACACGTTTTTGGATGTATTGACAAGATTACAGTACATGTATGTCTGCACATGGACACCTGCGCACAGCTGCATCTGCTTGTGCCAGAATTTGACAGCACAAATACACCTGGCTCTATGCATGTGTGTGCGGGCAGTACAATATCTGGAGGGGTGGTACATGTGGGGTGTACCTTTGTGTGCAGGTATCCTATCGTGTGTGTGTGTGTGTGTGCATGAGATAGGGTCTCCCAGGTTTTCCTCTGCAGGTCAGAGATAAAGCTGTTTGTTGGCGCCAGAAACCTACTCAACAGGCAACAGCTGAGAGATACAAGATTAGAGCCAATAGTTTTTGTGGCCCGCAGGTGACAGACAGGATGAGAGAGAGAGAGAGCGCGGGTCTGTAGACTATACTGTAACTTCCTCATGAGATAAGAAACCTAGAAAGCAGGCCGGCATGTTGACAGACATGAAGGGGAAAAAGTCAGAAAGTAGTTAGGTAGGTGAAGAGTAGCAACACCTCATGTCTCACCTGCAATTTCCACTTAATACGTCATGTTAGCGTCAGCGGCTGGACAATAAAACAAAAACAATAATTGTCACAATATAATATTTTCAATAACAGTATAACAAGTGTTCAATAAATATTTACTCGTGTATTTGTTCACAAAGATTTTATCATGATTGTTTTGAATATTCTGCCTCAGATTTGTGAAGTGATCCACTGTTTGGCATCAAGTGTTGATCATAAAGAAGAGTTTAAACCACAGTTAACCATCAGGTTTCCTCAACTTTTACTCAGGAGCAAAAATCAGCCTTTAAACTTGAAAGAAATAACGATTTGATACTTGTCGTGATAATTATCGATATCGAAAGATACGAAACTTTTTATCGTGATAACATTTTTGGCTATAACGTCCAGCCTTACGTCAGCGTCATTGTGGCATACTGTAGGTTTTAGAAAGGAATATGGTGGGTCAAAAGAACAAACGTTTCTTCAGAGGCATCTGGAAATTCCAGGCACAAACAAGCCGATTATGACTAATGGCGGACTTGAGAAGAGCTGAGTGATATTCCTTAACATTAACTTGAGATTGCTCATCAATGCTTGAAGCTTGATTTATCAAGTAATATTAATAAAAGTTTGCATGCGTAGTTGATACAAAGATCAGAGGCAGACTCAGCTCAAAATCAAACGATAATATTATGTAGGACAAATCAGTCATTGCAAGTACAAGAGATCTCAGTATTATGTAGAAGAGGGGAAATACATCTTTGTCATATTCGTTAATATGTACA